TTTAACAGTTGTAAATAAATTTATAAAATAAAAGAAAATTCTACGAGAAAAACGAAATTAAATTTAAATGTGATTTCCTTATCATATTAGCAACAGAATTAACACTACCTCGTATCAAATTTATATTACACGTTCTTGTATTGTGGTCACAAAATTTCCTTGTGATGTAACAACTTTTAAAATATTTGTATTTCCTCAATGGAAGTTCGTGGAGATCAGGAGGCGATCTTATTTTGTAGAGGACAATGCATTCTATGATGCATCATGTTTAACTTAAATATGAAAACTTTTTTAAAACAAATGGCCTATCCTTAGTGAATGTTTCAAAACTTCTTTAACGCACTATTTTTGTCTTGTATTACGTACATTAATCCTCGGGAATGGACTCATATTCAAGAGTTTTCGTTTGCAGGTTTATTTAGATGTCTCGTGGACGTGGTATTTGTCGGAAAGAACAGTCTCCTCCGTCTCCGACTTTATCATCTCTCTCAGAGTCAAACCTTGAAAAGTCACCTAATCAAAGTCAGGCATCATGCGATCAAAGAACTACTATGCAATCATTTGTCTCAGATCGTGTTGGAGTTGGTCGTGGTAAAACTCGATCGAACGCTTCATCTGTATGGCGTGTGTCAACTTTATCGAGCGCCGACTTTTTGTCAAAACATGACCGCTGTCACTTAAGAGAAACTCAACAATGTGGTAAAATTGGCGAACGAATTCGTGTACTTGTCAATTATTTTAAATTGTTAAACGTTCAACATTTATTGGACACCGTTTATCAATATCATGTCGATATATCGAGTAATCATGATGTGGAATTATCGTTTACAAGAAAAAGAGCAATTTATAGTTCTTGGATTAAAACTTTGCCTAGTGCAATGCACAATAGTCTGGCATTCGACAACGATAGTATTGTTATATCTTCGGAAAAATTACCTGATATTGATCAAAAAGGTGTAAAATACCCGATACCAGCGCTGAACCGTTGGGGTAAACAAGAATTGTTTAATTTTATCATAAAACTAATCGAATCTAATCAAGGAAGAATTGATTTAAAAGATCTGGAAATCGATCGTTTAATACAAATATTAACAATTGTTTTACATGAAGCCATATCCAAAAATGCCTATACTATTCAACGTCGATCATTTTACACTATATCAACAAAAGAGAACACATTCAATTTGGGTCTTGGTAAAGTTGGATGGCGTGGATTTTATTCAGCAGTCGTATTGTCTGCCAATGAACCTAAATTAGCTCTTAATCTTGACGGTATGTCATTGTCTGAAGGACTCTTATTTGTTTACTAATGTGGGTTTTTTAGTCAATCATACCATATTTACGAAAAAACAAACATTTTTGAAATTCTTACATGAATTAATATGGAAACATTCAATAGATAATAATAAAGAATTAGATAAAAAAATGTGTGAACTATGTGATACGCTATCCAGGGATAAAAACCGTATTGATTATATCAATGAACAAATTAAGGGTATTTGTATTATTTGAAGTGAATGTCTTATTTTGATTAATGCGGTGTTTATCGTTACAGGTATGAAAATCCGGTATAAAAATGCTCAGATAATCTGTGTTTACACAGTTAATTCATTGGGCAAATCAGCTAAAGAACAAGAATTTAGTGATTCAAGCGGTACACTGATTAAAGTTGAAGAGCATTATCAAAATCATTATAATTTACTATTAACGTAAGTGAATTTTTAAAATCATCTTTAACTAGTTAATGGACAAGTGTTTTGTAGATATCCTCAGTTACCAGTGTTATCAATACTGAAAAAAGATCGTTGGATATATTTACCAATGGAATTGTGCGATGTTGAACCAGTTTGTGTTAAAAAGATGACACCTGATCAAGTGAAAAATCTGTGTGATAATGCATCACAGCCACCTGATGTATATTTCAAGAACGTCATGAATGTCCGAAATAAAGAATTCGATTTTAATGACGATCCAATTTTGACAGCATGGCGTTTGAATGTTGATTCACAAATGTTACTATCAGAAGCACGTATATTACCAGAGCCCATAGTTCAATATGAAAAATTCGACGTACGAAATTTCAGGGAACCCGGTGTATGGACGATGGAAAATTGCGTCAAATACGACAGTCCAGCAGTGTTTCCACAAGTGTGGGCAATGATCAATATGTCGTATAAGAATCTGAGTAAAAATGATGTGAAAGAGTTCTGCGTAGAGTTGAGGAGACGTGCGTTTAATCATGGAATTAAAACGTTTTGTCTACCAGCTATCTATCAAGAATGTGATACAAATTCAGTTATCGAATATATCCAAAGGCTGATGGATGAAAATCATGATTGTAAATTTATATATTTTGTATTTCCCGAATATAATGTAGAATTGTATCGTCTTGTTAAATCGTTCTGTGAGTACCAAGTGGGTATTATTACAGGATGTATTATTGGAAAAAACGTCCGGAAAAATACACATAGAGGACGAGAAGTATTCAATGCACCTGTGATTGAACAATTATTACTTAAAATTAACTCTAAGTTAAATGGAATAAATTCAAGGCTAAAAGTAGAGTAAGTTAAGTTATCTTGAGCTGCCTATTTACAGACTGAACGGTTCCGTTTTATCCGTTTTTAGTCCTGGCATTGAAACGTTTTTTTCTCGTGGTCATCGTATCATGTATGTTGGTATTGATCTAAGTTATCCGGGACCCGGCTTGCTGGATACCGGTAGACGCGCAACTGTTGCTGTTTGTGCGTCAGTTGATGATATTCCATATCGATATGCCAAACAGTTGCGTGTTCAATATTACCCAGCCAAAATGGAAAATGGACAAAGTTTGGAAATGATTGTTGATTTAAAAGACATAATGAAAAGTCTTATTAAATCATATCATGATCTGAGACAATATCCACCAAATGCAATCATTATCTACCGTGATGGAATATCGGAAGGCGAATTTGATACGGTAAATTGATGTTTGTATCAGAGATGTGCACAGGGCAAGACAATCTTACCCTGCCCTGCGTCCTGTCCTGGAGGCAACACAGAACAAGAAAAAAGTTTTAGCCCTGCTCTGTAGGTCAGCAGAGGAACATTTTTTTTTGTCCTGGGTTTCTATCTAATTTGTGGATCTGACTACGAAAATAAAGAAGTTACAAAGTATAAATAATTTTTCACTTAAAAAATTAGATGAAAACTTAAAAGTGGTCTGAAGTTAAGACGCTTTCGAGAACTCACGTAGCAAAAAAATCTTACTTAAGCAAAATTTAACTTTTTTGAAAAACAGACTCCTGGTTGTTTCTCTCTCTACCTTCGTGTATTGTTGTTATGAGAAAACAGCGTTTGCTTCTTAATGAAAAGAATAAAATTAAGTCGTTGTGATTCAAAAGTTTTTCTAACTTTGTCGAGAAAAAGGTATATCTGGTATTTGTCCAGCAAGGCAGAGCAGGAAGATATTTTTTTATGAGTCATTCTTTAGATAGGACAGGACCGCACAGGCTAGGGCGGCACGGCGGGACAGGTCAAAAATAAGTGCCCTGTGCCCACTTCTGGTTAGTACCATATTATCATTATGAGAAGTACGAATTAATTGAAAAAATGTACCTTCTCAGTTACTGTGTATTATTCACCTTAGCAAGAAATAAATTCGTTTGCAACGTGGAGTATAATATTTCAATCTGACATTCTTAGTTGTTTTTTTCTAGATATTTTCCTATGAATTAGATTCAATTCGTCATGCATGCGTTGAATTATCCGACGCTTATCGCCCGTATATCACATATGTGATTGTTCAAAAACGTCACCATACACGATTTTTCACCGAGAGCAATAATCGCCACGGCTATGACAATGTTGTGGCTGGTACAGTTGTTGATTCTCCGAATGTTATCAGTACATCTACAAACAACTTCTATTTAAACAGCCACGGTCCGTTAAAAGTGAGCAAATTAATTGCTTAACTATGATCTTATTAGGTCAATCGTCTCTGTTTTTGGTAGGGCACCAATCGACCCAGTCATTATCATCTTATGTATGATGATAATAATCTAACCGCCGATAACATTCAAATGTTAACATACGCTCTTTGTTATACTTATGCTCGTTGTACACGATCGATCTCAATACCGGCTGTCGTAAAATATGCTGATATATTGGCTGGGCGCGCTGCTCTTTATTCAAAAGAATTACAGTATGTTGTATTAAATTTAACTTAAATCCTAGTTCTATAAGCACTTGGTTCATTTTAGAACGCCAGTACGTGATACTAATGATAAATCAATTCATAGTAAAATAATCAATATATCTAATGAACTACGCATAGATTCAATGTTTTTTATCTAAAGAGAAATACAATAATCTACAATCAAATATTTTCTTTATTTTTATATCTTTTATATTTCAGTATTAATCTGTGACATAAAAAAGACTATTATGAACAGTGATTTTGCTTGCATTTTTTAATATACATCTTTGTTAATAAAAAAACTGAGAAGGTACATTTTTGCAGTACAATTTTTGTTCTAATTTGTTTTTCTGCATGTAACAACTGTAAATTTTGTATTTACTTTTCAAAGAATAATCAGAAATATATGAATGACAGTAGCAAAGTTCTTATTTAAATTATCAATAAGCTAAAATAAGTCAGTGTTCAGTCACCATCGTCAACTGAGTAAAGAGACTACAAATCAGCTTGCTATCTGATCATCTTTTGTTTTAGAAATATTCCTCGGAAAAACTTGGCACATATCCTCCAATTTTAACTTTCATCTATTAATGTCTTTTTCTTCTATCATTTTAGAACATGAAAATTTGAATTTAATGCTAGCAAAGACAATTCTTAACAGAAATGTTAATTCTTAGTGAGAAATGTGTCTTTCAAGTTCTCTCCCCAAATTGTATATTTATCAAAACTTGAACCCTTGATCTGATCTAACGGGCATGTCAGAATAAATGTCATCCTCAGTATGTCGTCAATATTTCACTCAATTTTCATTGTTCAGACTTCATCTTTTAAAAAGATTCCCAGTACAAAACTATATAAAAAGTTCCATTGTAGGAAATGAGTTGAAATTTATACGGTAAACGCTGTGGTTTTCTATGTTTTATTTTTTTCAAGTATGCTCTTTCTCGTCACGCTTAGTAAACGTCGCTTGAATAAGATGATGACACATAAATCACGATATTTCTTAAGAGTATGAAATAGAAGAGTCAAAATTTTTGTTCAGGCGCGCATTTTGTTGGAGGAAATGAGAGTTAGATCCATATCGTTGCTCAGGCGTGAAGTAACTATTTGTCTCTGAAACAACAAAAATGTGATCATAGGAAATTCATTTATGATCTTGCTATATGCGTTTTACGAAGTGAGACGAAAATATTGCAAAAAAGATGGAAAATCTGTAAAAAGGTCTTTGCACTCAAGACTCTCAACCTTAGAAAAATTTATATTGCCACTAAACGAAAGAGCGTTTCGGGCTACGAAATGATTTATTTGATTTCCTTGTATATTGCAAGTTCAAGAATTAAAACGAACAAAAACCGCAAAAAACGTTGAAAAATATGGAGTTTTGGAATCTGACCGTGTTTACCATATAAATTTTCACTGTCATTTCCTACTCTTTATATAGTTTTGTAAGAATTGAACGGGAAATCTTTTTAAAAGATGAAGTCTAAACAATGAAAATTGAGTGAAATATTGATGAAATACGATGGGTGAGATTTATTCTGACATCCATTTTTTTATAAGCAAAATGTTCTGTCCTGTACGAAATCGACCCTTAAGCTTTATTTTTATTTTTGTCTGATAAGATTGACAGAATGTAATTAAATAGTTTAATATCATTGTAAAATACGACAATTGAATCACATGATAAAAGTTACAACAATATTGTTTATTTGTATTTAATTCTTGATGCTTATTTTATTTTAAAATATATTTGCATGTGATAGTAAAATCACACTAATCTTGATCTCGCTTTATTTAAGCAAAAAGACAGCGAAGATTCGAGTCAGTTAATAGTTGTTCGATTCGATTCTCAAACTTCTTTGTGTTGTTGTTATAAAAGAAGCAGCTGGAAAACAAAATAAAATGAACAAACGCTATTCAAATAAATGAAAATAGAAAGTTTTCTTGCTTTTTATTATCATGTTTCTCTTTAGAAGTTTGTTGTTTATTATTTTTTTCTTGAGGTAAAAAAAAAACAGAAGAAACGAACGAAGTAGGCAAACGCGCAAAAAAGCATTTTTTAAGACAAAAAAAGAGACAAGAAAAAAATACAAAACCGACATTGAACAAAAAACGTAGACGACGACATGCGTAAACACGAACACATAGTGCCAAAAAGATACAGAAGTATGTAGTAAACATTACCTTGACCAGCAAACTTCCTCCTCTACACACACACAATCAGCAGCAACATACATTTTTTCGACAGAGCCTTTATCATAACCAAAAACGCATGCAGGACGAGTTCTGGATATCTTGAATTGATAGCAGTACTGTGAATTTTTGGAGAAAAAAAGCAAAATTAGGCTAATAACAAATATTTTTATAAAAAACACACCGATGAATTGACGAGATAGAAAAAGGGGATAAAATAACAACAAAATTCATTCGGGTATTGCTTTTTCGTATTGATATTGTTTGGTTCTGACAAAAAAATGAATGAATGACCAGTGTATGTGTGTTAATGGGAGCTACGAATCATGAGGCTTTTTAAAAGAATGAGCAATTTATACACGTAATGTACCACTTAGAAGCTCTTTTTGTTCTTTGGTTAATGAATCGGGAAATTTAATGTCAAATCGAACAATGATGTCACCACGTTTGGTAGGCGTTTTTGGATATGGAAGTCCATCACCTGTTAAACGTTTTTCAGTTGTTGGTTTAATTATTTCATTCAATTGTAATTTTCTCACTCTTGATGCATCGAGTGTTGGTACAGTTATGGTTGTTCCGCATAGAGCCTAACATAAAAATGAATGACGCAAGTTCTTAAATGAGTTTTCTTCAATAATAAATTAGAGGAAGTAAATGGCAGAGCAGAGCCACTACTCACTCCAACATTCAGTAAAAACTGTCGCTCTCTAGACAGTTATGAAGTACTCTTCTGCTTGATCAAGTAGGATGAAAGAAATAAAAGATATATCTGTCTGTACGCTTTCTAGCTTTCAAGAAACTTTACTGCATATCACAATCAAATTAAACTTTTCTAACAGGTAGAAGGGTTTTTCACGAGGAAATCGAATGTTAAATAATCAAATATTATTATAATGTAAAAGTACTTTTAGACTTCTGTATTTCTAGTATTACACATCTGTGTAATAATTTTCCTTCACCATCAACTGAAAATTGAACTTAATACTTCTTTCATTCAACATATTTTCGTTAAGTAAAATATAGAATAGTACGAAAAAATGATATCCTTGAGTGAACACACAGATGTGTACTTAACTAAGCATTTTGTTTTGAACAATCTATCATTTCTCTTTCTATGCGCGGCTTATGATCATATTTCTATAAAGTTATGGGCTATAAGGAAGGCACAATGTTACGTAAATAGAAAACAAAAACTATGCGTTAAAAGTCACAACAGAATGAAGATACAATATTAAACACCAAAAGTTATTACGACACTCATATAAAGAAAAAAAACGCTGATCGATAGATTGTTTACAGAAACTTGCAAAATAGGAAGAAACGATTGCGTTAAATCGCTTCACAATCGGAAACAAAAGATCAATCAATAATCTTTGGAAAATTCCTTAGTTTCATCTATTTCATTGCTTTTTAAAACCAGTATTAAACTCAAAATATTATTTTGCAATTACGTTAGTAGCAGCATTCTCAAGCGAAGAAAAAGATATAATCGAGCTCAAAATGAGAAATAGTACTTACGTCTTTTAAACTAATTTTGGCTGTATATAATAAATCACTTCCATCACGTTTAAATGTTGGATGTACTTTGTCTTTAATAATAAATACAATATCAGCGGGAATCGTTGATGGACTTTGATCACCTTCTCGAGGAAATGTTATTTTTGTTCCAGCTTTCCAACCTGGTTTGATGTCAATTGTTAGTACTTTATCTTCTACACGAGTTGAACGACTATCAGCATTTAAAACTTTTCTAGATATTTTCATTTTTTTTGTTGTTCCAGAATTAATTTCTTCTAATGATACTAACAATTCATGTTCAACAGGTGGATCTTGTGTTTTCTTCCGCTGCATTTGTGATTGTCGTTGTCCACCTAAACCGCCTCCGCCAAATTGAAACGCTCCCAAACCTCCCGGAAATCCTCCAAACCTCAAACATTCAAATATAGTATGGAGTAGTGCGCGTTTTGTTAACAAAGAGTCGTAACTTACCCACCCGATCCATCATCATCATCTCCGCCAAAAAACATGGCAAATGGATCAGCCCCATTAAAAAACATTCTAAATGTTTGATGTGGATCGACATTTGTGTAAAAGAATTGTTGTCCTGGGCCTCCAGCACCACCGCCTCCACCACCTCCGGCTTTCAAACCTAAACAGAAATATTGAATCAATTAGAAAAGAATATTTATTTGCTATGATTATGTACCTTCTTCTCCATATTTGTCATATATTTCTTTTTTCTTTGGATCACTCAATATTTCATAGGCCTCGGCCACTTCTTTGAATTTTTCTTCGGCACCAGCCTCTTTATTTTTGTCTGGATGATATTTGAGGGCTCTAAAACAGAAAATAGCAATACTGGGAAACTATTCAATGATTAGCAAATCCATTTTTTTATTCAAGTATATAGTATCCAGATCTTACTAACTGGTAAACAGGAGTAGCAGTTAGTTCTAGCAATTTTATTATGATCTTTTTTAATTTTACTGGTTTTAACGTAGTTCAACTGTGTTTTTTGATTAAATCCTCCAGGCGTCAAAAAACAGTCCAATGACGTAGAAAAGGTTTTAAATTCAGAAAGTGAACAAATTTCAGTTCAAGAAATGAAACAGGAATCGCTGCCCTCAAAGGAGTAAAAATCAGTGGACCTTTAGGATGTTATGTTCTCATCCGTTAACGTAAAACGAAGATCCTTACAACTTTCTATACGCTTTTTTGATATCATCATCAGAGGCATTTTTCGTAAGCCCTATAAAGAAACAGTAAACGTAAATAAATAAATTAAGAATATCCAATGATAAAGTAATAACTTACCAAGTATCTTATAATAATCTTTTCCCATTATCTCTTGGGTCTGGAATTACGTTTGTTGAACAAAATTTAAGAATTAAAGAAGCAAATCTACAGAACAGATACGAGAATCCAAGTGATTAGGAACATTTAAAGATCTAAGTTCATATGGACCTTAGAAGTGACTAATATGAGAGTGTATTGCACATGTTTTTGCTACGTATGTCGTTTTTTCGTTGGTTTTCTTTCTTTTCTTATTTAATAGTTTAGATTCGTTATAGTTTTTCATTATTGTTATTATCGTAATACGCTCTTCTATCAGCACATAGACTATTTCTTTTCTCTATCAATATAAATTGGGTATGTGTTCCTTACCAACAGTACTTAGATACTTAATATACAAAAAGAAAACGAATTTTTTTCTTCCCTCAGCACCAAAACTTTTATCCGTTCTATTTACAAAATTTTTTTTTTTTATTTTCGTGAATTTACTCGAAACGTCTCGACTCTTGTGGTATGGAAAAGAAAGAAAAAGCATGTGGATATGAATAAATGATGTGCGGGTGGATGAGTTTGATGAATCAAACAAATATTCAAAACAGAAAAACAAGGAGGAATAGGTACGCGTTGATAGATAAAGGAAAAAAATGTAGATAAAGGAAAAAAATTGCATGTAATAGAGAAAGAAAGAAAGAAAGAAAGAAAAAACATCTGCAAGTACTTCGATCTATTGGCTAATACTATAGACGAATCAGATGAAGAAATTTTAACGTCTACGTATCATATATTTCTTACTGGTCTAGGTATCCTACAACTAAAATTTCGACCCATGGAGAAATTTTACTATATAAAACGGCGTGTACAACCGTGAATATGGTGAAACGAATTGTGGTCGCTATTGATATAAGACGAGGTGTGTGGAAACGTGATAAGAAATTCTCGCTTTGAACACGTGTTAAACACGTGCACACCATGCACTTGACGTTGCAGCTGCACGTCGTGAAACTTTAACTATATTTCCCCATGGGTACAACGAAGTGCTACTTTCTATTAGTTTCACACTGGTGACAGTGTCTATAGATGAAGAATATTTTGACCTTTCTTGCTAATATAATAGCAGCAAGACACCTCTATTAGTAAAGAACATTAACCTGAATGTAAGCATTGAGCCATCAGAAACTCAACTTTCTAAAGGTGTAGCTTAGCAACAAAACTGTGAAATATTCTTTAATGGAAAAAATGTTGAACATAACGTTTCACCTCTGTCGCTACTCTGAGATTTTTATGAGATGGCTAATAATAATAACTATTCGGTAAGCATATCGTTGTAAAACAAAAGTTTTTGGAGCTAGGTTAGTCGAGGTAAAAAAGAATATTTACTTTGCATAAGCTAGGTTGAAACTAGCTGCAGCTAGGGAAACGTTCTCTCTCGCCTAGATTAAGCTAGCTCCAAAAAATTTTGTTTTGCATGGGTACGAAGAGGTATTAGTCATCGACAACTGTTTCTGCGTTAAAAACAACAAATATTTGGCGTAAAGTACACCGTTAACTGTCCGTCCCATAAAGCCAACTAATTCTGAGTTTTTTTCAAATATTTAAATGTAAAATACAATCAATCGTTGAATAATATTGATCAAGATGATTATTAAAGTAATTCATACACTCTCAGAGAAAATATTCAATCTTTAGCTGGAGAGTGCTTACTAAACATGAGCAATTTATCAAACTTTTAGTGGTATCAAGGTGAATTCTGTTGAATTCTGAAATAATTTTTTCTATTTCCATTAGGTTGTCAACCCGCTTAGACAAGATACGGAAGATCCGTTGGCTGAGCGATATATTATTCGACGAAGCGATTCGGAGAAAGACTATGTATTAGCTAAAGTAAATTATGCAGCGAAGATATTATATGTTATTTCTTCTATACATTTTTATTATTTAGATCGAGATAGTCGATGTAGCGAATGTGATCACTGCGTTTAATGAAGTGTGTGTACAATTCTTCATCTTTTGTCAGACTTATTATTTCATATTTATTGCGAATTTTCTAGTACATGCCGTTAATGAAACTATCGTACGAAAGTATTGTATCGTATACTGATGTATTTACTGCATGGGAGCCGAAAGTAACGAACCCTTTGAATGAGTGGGAAATGTGATGTTATCTCACGTTGTGTATTTGTAGATCAGTGCTGCGTTTGTTAATTTGGTTACGGAACATTTTCCAATGGGCAATTTAGACAATTACATCAGAAAATTACGTTCAGAACAAAAAACAATCGATAATTCGGTATGTTAATCTTGATAGAACTTCTTGTGATCAAGATCTTGGTAATATTTTGAATCACACTTATTTTTCGTATCTAAGTGAAAATACTTTTATAGTTAGAATAAATTTGATTTTTCTCTGTTCGACATGGCAGTTTAAGACAGAATCTACTGATGATATGGCTGTGGCTGTTATACACGAGAAGAAATCAAAAAAATTTCCATTCAAGGTCTTGCTTTCAAGAAGTTTTACTTGAGAACAACTTGTCCTCTTTTTCACAGTTCTCAGTGCAAAGAATCTCGAAAAGAGAGCACCAAGTTATGATAGCGCCTTAGATTCCTAATTTTTATATACGCTTGGCGCTGATGAAAAAAAAATCAAATGGTATTGATTTGGCAGAACGAAAAAATGTCGATGAAAAATATGGAAGAAATTAATGCAGACGAAAAAATATCAAAGAAAAAAATGTGGATCATATAAAAATGTTGAAAAATGTTCCATATATGATTACGGAACACTGTTAATCTTCCTCTTTTGTGTCAGCTCCTCGTTTTTCTGGCTGACATACTTCTCCTATATGTGTGGATAGAAGAAAAAGCAAACATAGGTGAGCACAGATCAAAAGCGTCGGCGTTGTTTCTTCTTGCCAATCGTATCATTCGTTTCTGGACATTGAAATCTGTATTCTGCTATAAACTCCAGTTTTCATCACGCCTGAGATTAGTAGAGCATTGAGGTGTTCTCTTTATTTAGTTCTAGCGGCGCGTGTGCAGTTTAGACAAATCGCACACAAATTGCCACACAGCCGCTAAATGGTCCAACCCTGCAATAAAAAAGGCAACGCTATAACAAAATTTTAGAAGCGTTAAGAAGAGACCATGGCTTTTCACGCAATTTTCTTCTAAAACTCAAAAGGTTCAATATAGAGGTTTTCTTATTTTTCTTCGGGTTGCTCTAACAGAAACTATAATTTTTCGGTAGTTAATAAGGGAAAACCCCTCTTTGAATAGTAGAAGACGTATTTATAAAGTTCTGGTTTTCCAGATAAAAACTGACAAAAAAACGAATTCTCAGTAAAAAGCCACTCCCAAATGAGCGATATGCATTTTCATAATAGTAGGTCATGCTCTTTTGTTCAGGGAGGTCTCAGAAATAGCGTTTTATTATCTTATTTGGAACGACGACAGCTCTCTGTCGATGCTGATGAGGGAACATTTTTCGGTGAACTCTTCCGATTTCGTTTGTTCATATGAAGATCGATAGAGGGTATCGAATTAGTAAAAAGTTTAAAAGGATTCGGGCCCATGACTCTTGAAGGCTCGGTTTTCTGGAAAACAAGTTTTTCAAAAACTCTAAAAAAGAACTAAAATCCTTTCCTAATGAGGCATGATTGTAGTCCGCATATTTCAGATTAAAATGAGACGTCTCCCAGCTCTACATGACCTTCCTTTGCAAAGTTATAGAATTTACAAGAGAAGGCCTAAATGTTCATTGTCAGCTGAAAGCTACAGAATAAGAATGAGAAGAAATTAATTTAGGGCTTTTCTTGTAAATTCTATAACTTTGCAAAGAAAGGTCGTGTAGAGTTGGGAGGCGTCTCATTTTAATTAGAAATGGGCGGACTACAATCATGCCTCATTAGGAAAGAATTTTAGTTCTTTTTTAGAGTTCTTGAAAAACTGATTTTCCGGAAAACCGGGTCTTCAAGAGTCATGGGCCTTTTAGGCTTTTTGCTAGCACGATACCTTCTATCGATCGACATATGAACGAACGAAATCGGAAGACTCCATCGAAAAACGTTCCCTCGTGAGTGGTTTTCTGTACAAAATGAAAAAAGAACCAATATCCGAAAGATATTGAGTGTGCCAGTGCAGTACCGAGACAGTCTATTTCATATCGATGTTGATGTCAATATTCATTCCTACATAAAATAATAAGTTATATCCCGCTGGTGAAGAATATCAGCATGAGCTTTCTGCGACATTTTTCCTTCACTATTTTCTGGTTCGACATTATTTTTTCGTCATATTTTTTTCTTCGACAATTTTTTTTCGTCATTTCTTCCATCGACATTTTTTCGTTCTGTCAAATCAATACATACCTTTTATTTCGAAGCTTAAAACTGTGGAATATTTTCTTTATTTTTGAGAAAAATTGTTTGCTACCTAAAAGATTCAATAAAATATCGTGCATCCAACAGACATACCGTCATATATGATAGTAGATTCTGTCTTAAACTACCATGTCGAAGAGAGAAAAAATCAAATTTATTCTAACTGAAAAAATATCTACACTTATGTATAAAAATTAGTGTGAAACAAAATGTGTATTCTTCCATTTTATCGATTATTTTTTGAATTTACTAGTTAACGGAAGTGTGGTTTGCCCAAATTTTAGATGGCTTAATGTATTTATGGAGTCAAGGTATCGTCCATCGGTAAATGAGTGAAGATATATTCTTTCACAAAACTATATTTTATGTTTTGTTTTGAACGTATTAGAAATTTGAAACCAGAGAGTATTTTTCTTCGTGGTGAAGGCAGTGAACAAAATTGTTCAATTATTATTGGTGATATGATACCATTATCAGTTGCATACGATCTAAGAATGAGAACTCGATTATCCAAACGTATGTACAGCTTGTTAAAGAATACTTTATTAGTCTCTACAACACAACACTGGCTGAGATATGAATATTCTGTGAATAGGTGTTGAAAGTGAAGAGCAATATTTTAACGATTGATATAATCAGTAGGATGAAAATAGCTTTTGCATTATTTTGCTAATATATGTTGTTTTATTTCTTGAGTGTATAAAAACATGTTGAACGAAAAATGATTTTTTAGGTTCATTGTCGTACACATCTCCCGAAATATTCAACGGTCAACTTTATACACCATTATCCGATATATACTCATTTGGTGCAGTTTTATTAGACTTGTTGACAACCGATTGTTTAACGGTACGTTTCATATCTGATGTATAATGTTTTCTTTTCTCATTTTTTGTTTATGTTTTTTAGGAAGAAGATACACTACAGTTACGCATATGTGCACGATATGACCATAATATATTAACAAAAACAACTGAAGACATGAGTAAGGTATGTGAAACGCACCACATATACAAACACACCATTAAAACAATAAAGTATGAACTCTTTTTATTGTCATAGGAGAATCCCGAGATATCATCATTGATTAATCAAATGATGAATCCTGTACCAGATGAACGTATTCAACGAGAGTATGTATACATTTTTACATTCATCACCATACTTTTAGTACATTGCATGACAATTGTAAACCTCAAATTTGTTTTAAACTAAACTAGCGGATTAAAACGAGACACCTTCCAGCTCTACACGACCTTCCTTTGCAAAGTTATAGAATTTACAAGAAAAGCCCTAAATGTTCATTGTCAGCTCAAAGCTACAGAAATAAGAAGAAATTAATTTAGGGCTTCTTGGCTTCTCTTGTAAATTCTATAACTTTGCAAAGAAAGGTCGTGTAGAGCTGGGAAGTGTCTCGTTTTAATCCGAAATTTGCGGGCTATAATCATACCTTAATAAGAAAAGGTTTTGATTATTTTTTTAGAGTTCTTGAAAAACTTGTTTTCCAGAAAACTGAGTCTTCAGGAGTGCGCAAGCTTTTTTTATTTTGATTCAGATTTGAAATCAGCGTGAAAAATTGAATCGACCTCTGTGTCCCTCTCAATTGATGGAGACTTGGCTATGGCTTAAAAACAGTGATGAAATGATGGATTAGCCTAATTTTGGTCGCTTTTTTAGTTTTTAGCCAAAAATTGATGCAAAAGTAATTATTTTAAAACTTATTTGAGATGTTTTGGATAGAGTGAATAATTCTACACACTCCTGAGTATTTTTCGAGGTTCCAGACCTCACTTGAAAGGCAGCTGATGGTTCAAAACTGAAAGAGGTCAAAAATACCTCTTTTCAAAAGTCATTGAGTTTTCATTGTCTTTGACGCTTTTAAGTAAAATCAAGGACATATTTGGAATCAGCGTTGAATTCTGATTCTAGTGATGTATTTTTCATCCATTTCTGAAGGAATATTTTTTTCGATGTTCCTGAGGTCCACCTCAACCCTGAAATTTTTCGAAAAAGCTGAAAGTAGTTTTTTGGAAAAATTAAACCGGCCATTTTGTTCAGTTTTCGACGATGATTACAGAGTCGATAAAATAGTAGATAATTGACATCACTTTGTCTAGAAGATTGTACAACAGCTACTATAGGATAAACTGGAGTAAAAAATGAGACGATCTTTGCATATGCTTCATTTGTTGAATAATATAAAATGAGATCATCCATTGATAGTGAGCCTCGTTGCTAATAATCTAATTTTATTTTAATTAGAGATTTTTCACAAAATGATTATATTGTAAATTGTATGAGACAAATTGATTCATGTATGATGCAGTATACATCGTCTGTTGTTGATGACAATGAAGAAGTAGATGGTAGGTGTTATTTTTACCCATTGATCTATTAATCTACAACTAATCGATATTTCTCTATTATTATTAGAATTAATTCAAAATGAACAAGTTGAATATTATTTAAAATATCTAAAATTATATCGAAACGATGAGAAACGTGTTCAACAATGTTTATCAATATTTTGTGAATCACAGGCTGCAAGTGTGACGAAAAAATAATAATTAATAAACAAAATTTAAATAATAAGATTATTTTTTGTAGATTAATACATCGATAATTGGCTCACATTATTTAAACGAAATTGTACCGCTTGTTGAACATTTTCCAAAAAATGAAAAAATTGCTTTGTATAGTCTAGAGTTATTACAAAAAGTGTTAGCAAACGATCAGGATGAATATTTTGTTCAATCGAGTTTAGTGTCATTTATTCGAAAAATGATACCGGTAAGATACAAATGTGATATATTCAAGAAAAAAAAACGAGATTTATAAAATATTTGTGTTTTGGTAGCAATTTGAAAATGAAATAACGTTAATTTTGAAATTAATAACAATTTTAAATGACCTTGCATTAAAAGGTAAAATTATTGAAATATATAATAATAAAAATGAATCGGATTTTGTTTTAAAAGATGTCAAATTTGGAGAAACAAAAATTGTTGCTGATATAATACGAATTTTAAATAAATATAATACAGATGTTGGAATTAGTTCAAAATGTTGTATACTACTTTGGCAATTGAGAAATGAACGTTAGTATTTAAATTATAGACAAACGAATCATGTTTATCAATAATTGGTTTACTTCTAGCATCATCTCTAAGAGATTTACATCAAAATAGAGTGTCTATTTTAAATGCATTATTAAATTTATTAGAAAAATTAGGTGATAATGTTGATATATTTACAAAAGTATGTTTTGCTTTTATGCCATTATTATTACAAACATCAATTGTTGATTATTTGGCACAATATAATATCGTACGATATTTTACTATTGGTCTTCAAAAACATTTGAAAAATAGAAATGCAGTTAAATCAGGTAGTTGATCTTTATACGTTATTGTTGTTTTTTGTCATAGAATTTCTATTTTAGCACTTGCCGTCTTATCTGAATTATTCAAATTGGATGGTAAAAACATTTCAAACTCAATATTAAACTTCGATTATATTTCATGAACTTATTTTTAGAAAAATGTGTTATGCGCTACTTATGTAGTCGATTATCTGATGGAACATTGTTAGACAGGTATCTCTTATTCATTTTGATATTGAACATTTTTTTACTAATATGTTCTATTTCAGTATGGAAGTATTGAATAATATATTTAACAGTCACGAAAATTATCATGATATAGCTCGTGCTATACTAACTTTGTTAAAATCAATGATAAAATATGGTGGGTATAACCGTTCATTTTTTTTTACAATAATTTTTAAGATTTTTCTTTTATTTTTATTGAACATATAGATGATGCTGTGGATGAAATGATATCAACTAATATTGAAAATACGTTAATATTTAGAATAAAACGTTTTCATGCTGATGATCCGGTAAGTGCGAAAAGAAAACTCTAGAAAAGGATAATTAGAAAAAAAATTGTTATATTTTAGGAAGTGATGTGTACATGTAATGAAATTTTGGCTGTAATTAAAAATCGAAGTTCACATTAATATTTAAAATAAAAATAAACATTATTTAATTTTCGTATCATCTGTTTATTATACGTTTTTTTGTACAAAACACAAAAATTCTATAACATTTATATAAAAATAAAATATTTGACAAATACATTAAAAAAAACAAATGAAGGCAAAAAAATTATCAGTGTTTTCTGTTCATTTCAAGATTCCCTGATAGTAGCAGAAAAAACTTTTGTATTCTAACCAAGATTGAGATTCGTTCATCATTTCACATATTTTTTTGGTGGTAATGGTTTATTTGGATTGAGTGTTAAATCATGAGGTACACCGGTTGTTGAGGGCAATGGATCCAATCGGGGCGGTCTAGGTGATTGAGATTTAAGGCGAGATGGTAATGCATCAGCTTTTGAAACCTAAATAAAAAAACAGCACTATTAAACAACAATATCTAATGAATATTAGATAAAACATACAAATTTCGTGTTAAACGATAGTGGATTCATTACACCAACATTTGAAGTTGGTGCATTTGAAAATACTTTATTAAAATTCGTCTCACGATTGACTAATTCCATTTTTAAATGTTTCTTTTCTTCCTAAAACACAAATTTCCTAATATTACAGAGAAAACAAACTTTTATCAAGAAAAAACAAAATAATCTACATGAATTTTCTTCAATTGATCTTGATACGATACAATTGTTTGATGTAAATTTGCTATTAATTCAAGATCTTCGGGTCTTGACTCACGATTTCGATAACGTTGTTCAGCTTGATCAAGTCTAAAATATACTTGAAACATCTAGAATTGATTATAGATGAGAAAGAAACTTTTGTTGATATAGTTCTTTTTCATTTGTTAACAGTAAGTATATAGACTATTTAGACGACAGAATAGAACTTTAATTTTGATTTTACTTACTGTATTTGTAATTCATTAACTTTTGCTTTTAACATTTCATGAGCTTTTGTAAACTCTTGTATTAAGAGTTGTTGATCATTGGTATGCTTTGAATTTAATTCTTTTAATTTTTGTTCATTCATGGAATTTAATGTTTCTTCTCGAGATCTAAACACAATATTTGAATATTAACTAAATAAATTTTTCTTCTAGATAAATCATTACTTGATTTCTTTATTTGCTTCTGATCGTACTCGTTGAATTTCTTTACTGCGATTATCAATTTCTACGCGTAAATTTTCAACCAATAATTGTAATTCACCCAAATCTTTCATACATGTATCAACACGATCTTGTCTAGATTGTAAATCGGATGTTAAATCTTCAATACGTAAATCAGCTTCTCGTTCCTATATAAAAGTGAAATGTGTGCATGAAATAGAAACATATACATAACAATCAAAATAGTACCTTGATCTTAGTAATTTCAATAGCACGCTCTAATTCTGCACGAATAGCGGCTACTTCTTTAACATGAGAACGAGTTAATTCTTCTTTTTCATTTAAAAATTTTTGTTTATTATCTTTTTGTACATTTTCTAAAATTATAAAACATTCAAAAACGATACTTTTTACTTTTAAACTCAACTTAATTTGTACTGAATAAATTTGTTTTATAGACACTTTTTAGTTACATTCTTGTAAACTTGAACTGACGCTTACTACACTTGAAGACGACTATTTTGTAAATTTTCTCTCGATCAAGTTGAAAATATATACGTTGAATGTCACAAAAATACTTAGGAAATTCGATCATCAGAAGCTTTCATCCTAATTGTTGTCTCGATAATTTTTGTCAAAAACAGCCACTTTTATAAAAGCACATTTCGATTATACATCTTTTTTTTTGGACTCTAAAAACACGTTTTTAGCTGTTTGGCTTTGAGCTGTTGCTCCTTTTCATATTGTTCTTTTATTTCAAGTACCATAAGAGTTGAGTTGGTCTTCAAATGAGAAGAAGACTTGTGGCTGCGACTGAATAGAGCCAAATTTCTTATTTTTGTCTTAATTTTTAGAGAAGAGTAAAGATTTTCGAAGAATCAGAAATGCATTTTTCGAACTTCTGAAAAAAATATTTAATAAAAATTTTTAAAAATCCTGCTCTATTGTCTTTTCGTCACAACTCTTGCCATCAGTTTTGAACCAATCCAAGTCTTTCGGTGCTTAAAATAAAAGAGAAGTGTGGACATTTGAAGCATCTACTTTTTTTAATCACTATTTCTCAAAGAACTGTGAAAAAACTGACGTTTTCCAAAGCTTAACTTTTTACTCTAATTTAATATACATAAGACTAACATTCAATGAATCCAGTGTTTTGAGTCTAAAATAGATTTCTGACAATGGAAAGATTCTAAAAGAGAGAAAATAATTTTCATTTTTAAACTTGACAAGTTTATTTTTCGTTTTTGTAACTATCAAATGATTGTTAAATAACAATTTATTCATTAAACGAGAATAGACTAATAAAGTTACTTTATAGATCCATTATTTTTCATTGATAAAAAAGTTTACCTAGATCTGTTTGATATTTTGCATGTTGCTTTTCCAATTCTAAATGTTTTGTTTTTTCTGCTTCACTTCTTATCATTGTTAAATGATTATTATGAGCAAGTTGTTGTGCTCGAATATCTTCCATTTGTTGAGTTTTTAATTCATTTAATTGTTGCTATGAATAAAATGAAAAAAGAAAAAATTTATTTCAATCAACATATATATCTCTATTTCTATAGAATTAATAATTAATTATGTACGTACAACATGTTCTTTTTGAATTTGTATTTTTTGTTGAAATAAATCATCTTGATTTTGAGATTGTAAACGTTGTATTTGTGTTGTTAATTCTTGAATTTTTAAATTAAATTCATTTATTGTCCGTTTTTTATCTTCATTAACATTTTTTAGGGACACTAATGTTTCTTCTTTATATCGTTGTTGTTCACTTAATAATTGATTTTTAACACTATCTAACTAGAAAAGAAGATAGATGATTATTGTTTTTTTTTTTATCATTTAGACTTTTATTTACATACTTGATTTTCTAAATCTTTACATTTTAAATGCCATTTTTCTTTTAACAATGATAATTCATTATCTTTTAAACGTTTTAATTCTTCAATTGATAAATTTTTTTCTTCATCTTTTTGATGAAGTAATTCAAGACGAATTTTTTCACATTCAGATCTTAAACACAAATCAAATATATTTTATATAATAAGTAGTGAGTAAATAGAATATAGTTTAATATATCAACATACTTTAATGTCTTTGACCATTTGTCATTCAATTGTGTAGATAATTTTTCTAATTCTTCTTTTAATTTTATTGTTGAACTATTTATTAATTCATCATACTGAGATTTTAAATCATCATATTTAGACTAAAATTAATTTAGATATTTAATTTATGATTAAAAAGACAATCAAAAATAAATATACTTTTATTTGTAACGATGTTTTTGTTTCATCATCTATTGTAATTAATAATTTTTCAATTTGATTTTTATAGTCAACATTTGTTGATTCCATTTGTGTCATAGATAATTGTGCAGTATGAAAATCTTTTTCCATGAGTTGTAAACGTTGTTTTAAATCTTGTATCTGTTATAAGAGTAAAAGAAAAAAAAACATAAATATATCAGATAGATTATTAAACTAAATAACTATTACTTCATTTTGATATTTTTCTTTTAAATTTTTTAATTGTATTTTAACATCATCTTGTTGAGATTTTTCTAAATTTATTTCACTTTTCCATTCATTTAGTAATTGAATTTTCTCAGTTTCATATTGTTCACGTAATTGCTATTAAAAATATAAATAATATGTTAAAAAAAACAAAAGAATAAAGAATAAAAAACTAGAATATCAAATATTTTACTTGTTCTCGTTCTAAAAGATTTGCATGTGCTTTTTCTTGTTCATCTTTCAATATTTGTTTAAAATTTTCTTTTAATCGATCAATTTCATTTTGCATTTCTGTTTTACATAATTTCACTTGTTGATCATAAGTTAAACGTAATTCAGCTAATTCATTATCATATTTTAATAATAATTGTTGTTTTTCATTTGTCAATTCATTAATTGTCTAAATTAGAAAACAGTCTATTTACTATACATGTAGATAAATTTTCTTCACCTATGAAAAAACATTATTTTTTTTTTTTTTTATTAATAAAACCAAAAAAAATTAATTAATCAAAATGTTTTGACGAGATATTTTCAATCTAAACTTGACCTATTTCTGTCATAAATTTACATTTTCTCGTTGGAGTTTATAAATATTTGTATATTATTATTCAAAACAAAAGGTCAACTATTCATGATAAGTGTATTTTTTTGTTAAGTCGTGGATTATCTAATTGTAGCAATGACTAAGCTGCATGATAACAACAACAAAAAAAAAAAAACAAGAAGAAGAAAAAAAAAATCAGATAGTACATAAAGTATCTGGCAATCTATAATCGAACCAAAAGAAACTGTTTCTGTTAAAGTATGATATTATCAATATGATTACTGGTTTAACACATACTGTGTATAAGATGTTTAACTAAACAGGCATGCTTAGAGTAAGTAGGTATATAGACCTTCGATTCTTGTTGTGTTTTTTGTTTTCATTCTTTTTGATCAACAATCTCTGATAAATGTACCTGGTACAACTATTTGAGTATTTTGGGAAGTATGTGACAAGTGAAGCACTTGGCAAGTATTTGAGCAAGAACTTGTCAAATGTCGTTACTTGACTTGCTTCAGCCAAGTACTTGGACAAGTCAATCATCCTTTTTTGCTTTTGGCATTGATCGGTTCCCAAGCCAATCGTTCATTTGCGGTCTGTCACGCTATCGCGTCCGTGATCATTATGGATTCGCGCTTATCCCGTCGCGATCATGGTGGAGACACGCTGTCGCTTCACGAGCGCGGCTGACTCACGGTGTCGCGACGCGATCTTGGATAAATTTTAAACTTTTTTAAAAAAACGTTGTTCATGACTACGCTAACAACGCTAAGAGGTTTTGTCACGTTGGGCCCATAGACGAGTCTTATAGTTTCTCGAGGAGTCGCTACGCAATATTCCGACGCGGCATGAATTCATTCATTCACCTTTTTGTTTTGCACCCAAACTTGCTGATCGTGAGAAAACGGTGATCCTGAATCCCGACTCTTATTTTTCTAGTCTTACCGCGATCTCGGGACACGATCCTGCCGTGAATTTTTAGCGTGAGTCACGCCGCGACTTCAGCGGGAAAGTTTATTTGGTTGTATATAAATATCACAATATCAATCGTTATACACTTATCAAATAAGTGCTTACGTCTGTCTACTGACGAGGAAACATTCCCAGGTGCCCCGCTCCGATTTCATTCGTTCATACATCATTCGATAGGGGGTCTCGAGTAGGTAAAAAGCCTAAAAGGATATCGGCCCATGACTCTTTAAGACCCGGTTTTCTGTAAAACCAGCTTTTCAGAAACCCTAACAGAATAACCAAAACCTTTGTTAATAAGGCATGATTGTAGCCCGCGAAATTCTCATCAAAATGAGACATCTCCCAGCTCTGAAAAACTGGTTTTACAGAAAACGGGTCTTAAAGAGTCATGGGCCGATATCCTTTTAGGCTTTTTACCTACTCGAGACCCCCTATCGAATGATGTATGAACGAATGAAATCGGAGCGGGGCACCTGGGAATGTTTCCTCGTGAGTTGAACAAAGTTAGTGAACGTGCATGTCTTTGTTCTACAAAAGTAGAGAATAGCTCCAGGATATGTATAACATACATAAGAAAAATAAATGAAACAAGTACTTGACAGAACTTTTTCAAGTAAATTTATTTGTATTGTGTTAGCCCAGTACCTACATTTTACTTGACAAATAAATTTACATGGACAAGTTGACAGGTACTATCCTCATTAGTTAATTCAAGTATTTGCGCACATACTTGACTAAAATACATTTAATAGGGATATATTCTAATCAAGTACATATAGTCTGATATATACCTTGTCGAGTGCAACAATTCTTAATTCAAGAAAACTCGATGTTGTTTCTGTTTTGGATAAAAGTGCATTTCGTTCAGATTCCAACTGTTTCAAACGTTCAATATTTAATTGTAATTGCTTTTTACATTGTGCTAATTCCGTATTCAATTGCCGATTAATTAAATCTTTTTCTGCTGTTAATTCTATAAAAAGAACATGAAAAATAGAAATAACAAAACAGTACACACGTCAACATTTTTCTTGTCAAGATTCTACGCATATGACAGTTCACTGTTTCAGTTCCTGCTTCTGAACTAAGAACAGTCTAACAGTTCATGCTCTCAGAAACAAGGAACGATTCATTAGTTCGAATTCATCCAAATGGGAACGATAGTTGTTTTTGAACGAGAAACTGTTGCATGGTCTCGTTCGTAGCGATCTGCTAACGGTAACCCCTACGCTCTTTTTGAGCTTTCCGTAGAAATGCTGTGAAATAGAAACTAAAAGTCGCTAGGACTTCGTATTTTCAGAGCTGATTGGAAACTCAATGGAGCACTTTTCGTTGCCTATCTGTCTTAAATGATCTTTAAAGCTTTAGACGCAGCTGGCGAAAATACATTAACCCAATAATTTAACAAGACAGGATCGACTGTCATTAGTCTTAGCAGCCACAGCGAGAAGATTACATTTTTGAAAGATAAATGATGAATGTTGGACGTTTTGTTATTTAGAAACAAGTACGGAAAAAAAGAATACTGTCAAATAAAGCAGTTATACTCATCATGAACCATATAAATTCACTACTGTGCGAAGGAAAGCTACTAGATTACTAGAAACACAGGCATTTCGAACAGTTTTCCATTCAAAAAGTATTTTAATATTCACTCGAAGGGAGTAGAATTAGTGAGTCGTTTCTTATTCCTACGAAGGTAAACTATTCAAACGTTCCTAGTTCAAGAACAGGAACTGAAAAACAGTTTTCGTTATCGACGACCTTCTGTTCAACGAACGGTGAACTGTCCTAGGTTCAATGAAGATCTTAAGTTAAAAAGTACAAAAACATAGAAGAAACATTATTTCTTGATCTAAAAACTATTTTATTTTCTTATTTTTTCTTGTTTCTTTTAGTTTTTCTATTCAAGTAATTACACTAGAAACTATCAATGGTATTTTATAATTCAACTCACTCAGTTTTTCTTCTAAATCATTTGATTGTCTATTAAATCGTTCTTTGACCGTATTTAATTCTGTTGTTGTTAATTCACAGCGATTATGTAAATGCTCATAATCAATTCGTTGTTTCATTAACTAAACAAAATTATAAATCAAAAAGAATAATAAAAAGAATGCTGTTATTGAAATCTAGCGAACCGATGTTTTGTTCTTTATAGAATGTCAGAAAAAAAGTAGAATATCTTAAAGGTTTTTGTCAAACGCTAAATTAGATCAATTTTTATTCTACATGTGGAAGTAAGGCTAATATCCGTAACTTCTGCTTTATTAAAAAGAATCTTTTGACAATATCCTACACACTTCCTGTCTATTACCTGCTAGGATCTTACAGGATTCTAACATTTATGATCCACCTAATAACTTTCTAATAGGATTCTAAAATGCTAGGATCCTACTAGGATTTCGCTTAAGTTTGTTTAAGATCCCAACAGTATCTTAGAAAATTCTATGACTTTCGGGTATACCTGATTTCATTAGGATTTTGTTAGGATCCTAAGAAATCAAAGCGAAATCCTAGTAGGATATATCTCGATTCCTATCAGAAAACTCACAGGAATTTTACTAGGAATAGTTAGAAAAAATAAAATTTTGTTAATAAAGACTAAATTAATAGTTTCCTAACAAATATCACATTAGTCTCGTACTAATTCGATATTCGAAACGATTTTTCGCCCCATTCTAGTGACTGTATATTCATCTATCTATCTGCGAGGTGAGATCAGCAGATGTATGTAAAATTCAAAAACAATTTGAAGTACAAATAATTCAGATTGAGAAGTAGTTACAATACCTGTTCATTTAATGAACTTATATTTTCGCTTCTTGAATGTAAATTATTTTCAATTTCTTTTAATTCATTTCTTAAATGATCACATTCATTTGTTTTCTGTTTTAATTCTAAATTTTTTTCATTCAATTGTCTTTCATGTTCTAAACGATTATATTGAATTTCTTTTGTTAATTTTTGTAAATCATTTTCATATTGAATTTCTCGTTCATTTATTTGTTTTTGTTCTCTAATATTTTGTAGTTGTTGTTCATATTTATCACATAATTCTCTATTTTCTGTTCGTAAAAGTTCAACCGATTGATTATAATATTGTGTTTGTGCTGTTATTTCAATATCATATAATTGTTTCAATTCATTTTTTAATGAATCTAATTCATGCTGATGTTTTTCTTTTAATAATTGAATATCATATTGATGTTTTTGTTCTAAAGATTTTAATTTTTCATCAAAATTAATTGTAAATTGTTCTTTAATATTTTCTAATCGTTGTTTAACTTGAGATAATTTTGTTCGAAATTCTTCTGATATTGTTCGTTCACGATCATTACTCACTTGTTGTAAACGACTTATTTCATCATTTTGAGATTGTCTAAAAAAACATAAATAACATAGAAAAAAAATAGTTTGAAATATTTTAAAAATTTGCAGTTTTTTCTTTTCTAAAGATTCTACCGTTCAAGTTCTAGAATACAAATTTTTTCTTCCAAACTTGAACTTTGTGTTTTTTTTTTTAATGATAGAGTTTCTACACGCTGACGTAAATCAGCGACTTTTTTCGATGCTTCTTTCGCCAATTGACATTTTTCTTGTTCATACTGTTGTTTGAGGTTATTTAAAATTATTTCATGTTCATCAGCTTTTGTATTTAAAGAATAGATGACCTAAAACAAAAACATAAGTCGATAATTTGATTGACTCATTAAATAATTCCGAATGAATGATTTACATTTAGCACGTACTTTACGTGATTCTTTTTATAAGCGGAAAAAGTCATATTTCTTTTTTTACGCTAAATATTAAAAATAAATGTAAAACATTGGCTATTTAGTTTATTACTTCAGAGAAAACATGACTCAAAGCAAAGCAACACATTCCAAATTATAGCAAAGATAAAACTATTGGACGGATTTTGCTAATCTGTCTATGAAATAAATGGAATCTATTGAAAATGAATCATTTCTTGTAATCAAAACAAAAATAAAAAAAAGAATAAAGCAACTATCTAATCGTGGTAGCTTCAGCACAGTTTACTTTGTTATTTACAATATCTTTTGTTGAACCCCTAGAGTGACACTATATTTCATTGTTATCGTTATATGCAGAAATATATGAAGAAAATTAAATTCAAAGCTTTTCTTGAAAGGAAGATCTACGAACAAATACGAATAATACTCGTTTTTTTCTGAGAAACCGAATATCTATCTCACTTGAACAAACCTGAGATCTTAAAACTATCGATTATCGATGCTATTAATAGCATCTACACAGATTCACAAGAGAAATAAAACTGTTGTTTAAATCTTGATTTTGATGAATATTTAAAAAACTGAAGTGATAGGTGATGGTAGATAGTTTTTGAGAGGAAAAATTCTTTAATAATAATACTACTGAGTATATGTATAGAATCAGTCTTCTCTTTATAAATCTTCTCTCAGAATAAAAACTCACTGTTAATGAGTTTTTTCTCAGAGTCTCTTATTATATTCTATTTGGATATATTCTATTTTGAAAGAGTAAGTGGCTAAAATAAAATGCAGGAGGAAACTATTTTTAGATTTTTTTACAGAACTTGTCTACTAATGCATTTTGATTTGACATAATAGACGATGTACAAGTATAAGAAGTTCGCTTATCACTATATATTAGTTTCTGACATATAGAAAACAATATCTCATCAATACTTTGAAACAGTTCTATATATCCAGTAACACTCATATAATCCGAAGGAGTTAGAGGCCATAGACACAAAATTATTCTTTTACAAACAAAACAAATAAATAAATAAATAAACAAACAATCGCTTATCTTTTCTTTCAACAACAGCTGACCATTTTTTTTTTCTCATTCTTTGGTTGTTCTTATAGTATTTCTAGGACATAAATGATGTTAAATAAATAATTGAAATTTTAGTTAAAATTTTAGATTTTTAACAAAATAGAGGGAGAGAGAAGGTCATAACTATTCACGCTTGTAGTAGACTTGTATAAATGTATGTAAGTGACTAATATTAAATAATATATTTGTAAAAAAAAAAAAAAATTTTTTACAATTTTCTTCTCTCTCTTCTGTGATTAGTTTATTTGCCTTTATTCTTAACGCAACGATATGTGTATATGTGCAAATAGGAGAAAAATGATGATGAAAATATTCATATACATTGAAAAAGACAACATACTATATTTGTGCTCTACTATATACTTCTAAAGACGAATAATAATAATAATAATAGCAATAACTAATAATAAAAACTATAAAGAAGTCTTTTTGTACATGTCTTTTCTTCATATATAGATGTAGGTCAGTTTCATTTACAGAAGTACGTATGTACAAATCAATATATTTGTCTGTAATACTTTGATAGTATTAAATTCTTGATAAATGTTAGCACTGATATAATAGAATAACTATTACCATTTCTTATAATTTGTTAAACCGACTTTAGTTAAAAGGAAATTTAAGCTTTTAGTTAAAACTATACGTTCGTTCTTCTTTGTGAATGGCGTTTTTAATTCTATTGACAAAGAAGCTTAGTTTAAAGCTTTTATTCTCGCTCTTAAAGGAACCATCTTAATGTTTCTGCGTGCTGTTTGATAGAATCATGAAAGAATTAATTGAAAACAAAAAAAAGGTTCTTAGTATACTAATAGATAATAAAAAAATAGTCAGCTGTTCTGTCTACTTTGGGATATGTCGAAAAGAAAATTGCTCCCCACTTTTTATTAACAAGAGTTATAAAATATGCTGCAGTTTGACATACAGATAAAACATTGCTTTTTCAGAAAACAGGAGAATCGTTTAATCGTTACAAAATGATCTTTGAAAGAAACTATTAAAGTATTTATTATTATACAAACTCTAGACAATTAGGTAAACGTTTAAATCTCTTCTTGAAGAATAAGATAAAAATAAGACATATTTTTTATTTTTTTTTCTGTTTCACACATACACCTTTAGCATGGACAAATTTTCTGAGAAAATCACATGTATAATGTATAATGAACGCTCTCATTAATCTATGTCAAACTAAATTGATCAACTGATAATAAAAAAATTATCGATCGTGTAAAAGTATTAATATGGTAAATATGTTTCTCTCTCTCTCTCTCTTTTTCTCTCTCTATATATTAACTAACGTATTCTTTTTTTCTCTTCATTTTTGCTTTTTTGTTTGATACACCAATTTGTTTTCTGCATAGTTGTCTATTAGTCTTTCTTTCTTCATGCATGTTCAGATATCATTATGTTACAAATAAAGAAAAAAGAACATGCAATTGAAAATTTGAGACAAAACCACATAATATGTATGTATATGTACAGTAGATATATGAACGTGTGAAAGTTTACCACTACATACACACAGATACAACATACAAGGTTTTTTCAATATATTTTTTTTCTCTCTCTTTGTTAAATAATATATTTTACGCGTCATTGAAAGCGCGTAAATACATCGTGCCAAATGGAAGTCGGTTGATATCTTATAAATTGAGCGCTGTTTTGTTGCTGAATGAATAAAAAGAAAAGTAATCATCTGTACTCAAATAAAATCCACGGGATACATGTGCAGATGTGTCATAAGCGAGAGGGAGGAGCTGAAGAACGAATAACAAAAAAAGAAAAACCAAACAACGAGTAGTTATAGATATTTCATCTTAAAAGTTGACTACAGTTATACACATATCTCTAATATACATTTTTGCACTCATGCAAAAAGAGCAAAAAAAATTTTTTTACTGTTGTACGGTTATATATTTTATCTACATCTAGTTTAGATAAATTAAATCAAAACTTGATCTTTTTTCCAAAAGAAAATTAAAAAAAACACAGAGAGAGAGTAAGTTATTTTCATTTTCATAATAATTTTACTTTTTTTTTCTATTGTATGTCTTTTCGCTTTTTCTTTTTCGTTTCATCAAAATTTTAATGTACATATATATGTATATCATTTGAATACAGATTTATTTTTGTAAATCTCCTATTACCACTGTCATTATAGTAGAAAAAAGCTTGAGGCATTTTTGAACATCAGTAATGATGAAAATGAAATGACCTTTACATAACTATGTTTTTTTGTATCTTTCATTCTCTGGTTACTAAAAAGCGCCACATGTCGCAGTAAGGATATTCTACTCTAAATGCAAAAGAATAAATTGTTACTACATGTCAAATCGATCATTGTAAAGGTCATTTGTTTAATAAGATTGATATTTTTTTTTCTTAACAAAGTGTAACATGTAGGGGTAGAAATGTGAACGACAAAAGAGTTCTTATAGTGATGAGGAGTTTTTTTTTTTGAGAGTTATCGCACGATAATCTAAAAAACAACATATTGTCAACGTCTAAAAAGTTGACAATATTATGATGAACAGAAAAGGGATCTAATGAAAAAAAGAATATTCTAATATACATGCTCTTCGTCGAATAAAAACCTATATCTCGATGCGCTTCAAGATTTCATATATCAAGTTGTATCGAGATAATCTAGAAAATGCAGAAAATTACTAAGCACACTATAGCTATAGAGCCATTTTTTTAGTACATGGTTCTATTCAGAAGCTTATTTATATCAGAGTTCTACACTGACCAATCTGTTCTAACCTTAAGGTCTGGTTTGATGCGCAAGTGAAGACGAACAGGTTTAATTTTAAATGTTGCGGGGAAATTATGCAGCTGCTAGCACTTAAATCTAGCATACTGATTATCCAGGTTAGTGCTCTATCAATTATTTATCAAGGTGTAGTCTAGTCCTGTAGAGTTCTATCTAGCATCAAAACAGGATTTTTGATTTCCCTTTGTTTTGTTTTTCGACTGTCACCTAAGGCGTTTCAGTTTTTTAAATTTTTTTGTTTTCTTCTATTATTCACAATGTCGAATTAAACAAAACTCAAAGTTAATTAACATTCACATGCGCATCTCCTGTATCTCTACTATGTTAGTTAACTTGTGATTTTTCTAATTAGATTTAAATCATTTTTTTTACATATTTGAGACATGAAAACAAGAACGTGTAGAAGAACGCAAAAATAGAGTTTTTAGAGAAGTAAGTCGTATGTTTTTGCGTTTTTTACGTATTGGCTAAGAGCCAAATGACTGAGAAAAACTCTTGATAAGCTATGGTCAAGAATGCTTAGTTTCTTCATGAGAAAATAGAACATCCTTTAGATATGATGTAAAAACAGCGGTGAAGATCGGACAGATTTAAAGTAGCCACCTTCGAACGAAACGGCATGATTAAGCTGCATATCAGTTTAAAAGTACGAAATACAAACAAGTTTTTCTAAGAGAAAACACTGGAAATCGATGAATCTTACAAGCGAGAAGTAGTCTTTGACAAGTGTTGCTAAGTATTTCTTAAAAGCTCGTCAATCTGAGGAAGGGACATAAAGCCTCGTTGTCTCCGTCAATAAGTACTTGCCACTACTCTTCTACATATGGCGTGGTAGAACAAGTCAGGTTGTACACACATCGATGAAGAAAGCATTTTGTTATATGACAGTTACCATAAGGCACAAAATGGCTCATAAAACTAAATTGGTTTAACAATGATATGCAAATTTTAGAAAATCGTGTATATCACTGACTCATCATATATTGCTTTAAATATTCCTCACATCTCAATATTTGTTATAGCACAATATATCGATGGATCACTGATATATCTCGATAAAGAAGTCACAGCACAAATCTTGTTTGGTGAAATATCTCTGAAGTCATTTTTTTACCATGTTCTAAATAATATCTAAAGTCACATAATATAGGCATTGCGCATGTCCTCTTTCGAAAGAAAATTTAGAAATTTCATTCAAAGCTTTTTATTGTAGCGTCCGAAATAGGTGGAGTTATAAATCGATTTATAAGTAGTGATTTATAATTATTTTAACTTTTGATCAAAAATTTAAAATAGTTATAAATCGATTTATAAATGTCGCACCAATTTATAACTATTCTAACTTTTTGATGATTTCGCTCAACTTTTAACTTTTGAAAAATCATTTCGGACTCTTCAATGTTGTAGCCAATATATTTCACGTTGGATCAGGATAATACGAACATATCGTGATACATTTTGATAAAGATGTTGGAATGTGATATACTGTTACGAATGTTATATCGTACAGAAAAATGTGCATCTATGCGGCTACTAAAGTAACCCACTTGTATTTTTACTCAAAAAACTGAATTATAAACTTTATTTTAGGATCGTATCGGATCTAGACTCGACAGCATATTTCTATTGCAAATTATTAGAGGTAAAAGTCACTATAAGTTTGAGAATAAGGATTGCAGTTTACTGCAAAGCTAAGTTTGTGTGTTCGAATCTCTATTCGTAAAATTGATTTTGTGTTTTTCGATAGTTTTAATTTAGAAGACTATAATGGAATATTTTTCCGCTTGTATTCTGACAAAATAAAGCTTATATCAATAAGAATTGTGCTCAATTCTTAAACGTCTCTCACTTTTTGTCATTCTGTAAGGACTGTCATAAAATATCATCTGAAAGAACGGAAAATACAATTGCTTCGAATTTTTTAAAAGTTACGCTTTTTTTCAAAAGATAGCTTAAATCGTTTTCGATTAAAGATGTGTATTGTTTTTTAAAATAGTTAAGAATTATCTTTCTTTTAGATTTATTTATATTACGCTTCGTTCGAAAATCTACTTAAATGGGAGCTAAAGGTGGTAAAAGTAAACAAGATCCGACAATATTGACCGAGGAACAACTGAAAAGATTACAGAACTGTACTCGTTATACTGCTGAAGAAATCTCAGCGTGGCATGCGGGCTTCTTAAAAGATTGTCCGTCGGGTAAATTGGATAAAAAACAATTTTTGAATGTATATAAGGTTAGTATGTCTATTTTTATTTAGCACTTCTACTACATGACAGTCTAATCTTTTTATTACAGAAATTCTATCCGGAAGGAAAAGCTGATAAATATTGTAATTTTGTTTTCAAAGCGTTTGATTCAGATGGGAATGGTTGGATTGACTTTACAGAATTTCTGTAAGTTGACTTTCTTTTTGTCCTGATAGGAACAGAAATAAAGAAAACAGGTATTATCACTTTGTAGAACTGCCGTTGGTCTGTCACAACATGGTGAATTGAAAGACAAATTAGGAATGGCATTCGATATCTACGGTTCGTTAACTAGCTCAAAACAGTCACGCACGTTGAATAATTTAATTATTCTCTCATTTTAGATCAGAATAAAGATGGACAAATAAATCGTAAAGATATGGTTAAAATAATTGAAGCAATGTATGATTTAGCTAATGAAGAAGATCGAAGGGGAGAAAAAGCACCCGAAAAACGTGTGGAATTGATAATGAAAAGGTTAAATAAAGATGGTGAGTAAGCATATTCTTTTTAGGACTAGGGTAGTGATACATCAAATGAAACGCTTTTACCAATTCTAAATTTACTATTCTTGTTGGAACTATCTAACTTCCGTGTTGAGATTTGAACATTTATTTCCTTAACTTTTATAAGCTGAGATATTTTTTACTTTGTTTTTATCTTAATATATATAACTTTGGTACGTTAGGGTACCACTCAATTTTTTCAAAGTTAAATGTAATATTTTCTCTTTTTTCTCCTTTCAGATATTGTACTTCGACTTGAATTTATTCAAGGATGCTTAAAGGATGAATTTTTGAGAAAAATACTAGCGCCCAATACAGCTCAACCGTTTGGTATGAACACAACGGATGGTGTACAAACAACAACAATAAATATCAGTGATGAAACGGGTGCCGCAGTTTAATATAAGTAGAAGAGTTTAACATTACTCGCGCCAGATAGATCTATTTTTCATTTGACAAGAAAAAAACTATGTACATTTTTTTTTCTAAATATTTCTACTATGCAGTGTGCACAATAATTTTGAACAGACTAAGATTTTCGTTTTTTTCTCTCCTCTTCTATGAATTGTTTTTCGTGCATTTTTTCTTGAACTTATCTCAAAAAATAAATAAAATGTTCAACCTGAAAATATTAAAATGAAAATAACCAATGTGAAATATTTCTCTCGATAGAACTTCATAATAATATTTTATATACGATATTACATATTCTACGCGTAATGATAGTTATTAAACACTGTAGCAAGACTTTAACTGTTTCTCAGTGCAACCGACTTTCCGTTCAGTCGCAGAAATTCTCCATTAACAGTACAAAATATCATTCTATCAGTATCTTCTAGATTCTAAAAGAGCATACAGTTTATTTTCTTGTAATTTAGAAGAGAAAAAAAAATAGAACAAGCTTGCAGAAAATCTTCTTGTAGAAAAGACTTACAATTACGTTTACTGAATCACAAGACATCGAAAATCTCGGTTTAGAAGAATATTATGAAATCGCTACGAAATTGAGCGCAATTTCGACATACCCTATACTAGGGCTAAGTGGCATCAGTATGTTGAACGATACATTTATTTTGAGCTATTGTTCAGTTTCAAAATTTAAGCATATACGAGCGCGTACATATTTTAAACCAGTACGTGAAAGAACTTTTCCTACAATCTAGTAACATTCACAAGTATTGATAATAAAACATAACGCTTCATAGCTATTTTATTAATAAATCTTTTAGTTTGTGAAAGAGATTTTTGATTAGCCTTGTTGTCAGAGGTGATCTATAGAGAGAGTATTAATGCGGAAGGGAAGAATAGTTCATATGTTCTGCAGAAGAATAATCTGAAGCAGATATCAAAATCTACCAACGAGAGTCAGCTTTTATCATTTGATCTGATATCAAGACATACGAGTCTGATACAGTATTTTCTTTTAACCCAATCGTTCAACAAATGACTTGATCGACTGCTTGAATGAAACAAAGTTAAAGCAAAGAAAAAAACTTTATAAGTAAATGAAGATTTTCTCTAATTAACAATGTTAACGCATTCAAAAGTGTCTCATTGACTTTTCAATTTTGAAATAGTTTCACATACCTTGGTTAATTGAGCAATTTTTTTCGACATTTTAACATGCATATCAAGAGTAAGTACAGTATCATCATCACCAGATAACAATCCATGACCATTTGTTGCCGCATTATTATCAGTATAGTGGTGGCCTTGTGCTGACTGTTGCTGAAAAAACGACGAATTTATATTTTTTGAAAACATTTTTGCAGATGCCATCGTTATCGGAAAATGTTCATTAAGAACTTCAAACGTAAAGAGAAATTCAAACGATTTCTTATTGCCGAACGTGTGTCAATAGCCATTACACGGGTTCTTCTACGCATAGTTTCTACGGTAACCCTGTAAACTAATTGAGATTACACGTTAAGGCATTGAAATGGAACCTTGTGAATTTCAATTTTCTTCAGACGTGTTAACAAAGATCGATATACATTAACAAGAAGGAAATGGGATAAGTTCACCAATCTTTATGATTGACAGAATGTCAGCGCCATCTAGAGCTTGAAGGGTCGAAAAGGTCATACAGTACCCAAGCAAAACAAAATGTTTTGGAGCTAGCTTAACCTAGGTAAATAAGAACATTTACTAGGTTGAAACTAGCTGCAGCAAGGGAAATATTCTTTTTTACCTAGTTTAAAGTAACTCTAAAAAATTTTGTTTTACTCGGAAATTATTGTTAAACTTTAGAGTAATTAATTATTGTGTTTTTGTTTTCAATAATCATGTGCGGAGTACACATCTCAGATTGAAGCGATAGTTGAAAAATAACAGATTTAAATTATTTGCGTCATCTGAAATTTAACTACTGTACTACAACTAAACCTGGCATATTGAATACATAAAAATATCGGTTGTACACGACATAGTCAAATGTAGACTCCAAATAGCTTCAATAAATTAATTTGTAAATTTAATTTGATCTACGTCTGTATTACATTTTTGTTATCTTGATTTATAAGATTTGGCATCACTATATTGTCACTTTGTGATCATTTTTTCATTTCTGTTTCTTTCACACAGTAGTTATAAGAACAAATACAGGTGCATAAGATATGAGACTTACCTCTACATCACGTTCTGTAGATAGTTATTAATTTTTCAAAAAAATAATTGCTGTGTTTATAATCGCATTCTTATTGAAGATAGTCTACTTTATACACATCGTCAAAAATTATGTGTGAAAACGCAAGTAGTGGTAACAAATGTTTATGTGCATACTGTTCGGGCAGTATAGCACATGGCATGCATAAAATGAATCAAGAAGATGTGAAGCGTTGTGAAGATCTTGTTGATCAGTATTTAAGCGGACATAAAAATGTATTGAATGATTTAAATACCAGACTTGAAGCAGTAAATCCAGTACAATGTTTTGATATTTTGGACAAGCTCTGTGCAAAGTAAATAACTTAGAGCCTAAAAGCAAGTCACAATCCGATTATGACAGGGTTATATTAGGATTTAACGGTTATTTGAAAAATTGTATCTGATTTTCATTGTTTTATAGGTCAACAAACGATGGAGAAGAAATAGATTCGCTGATTATGAAGTTTATTCGTATGCATCGTTCAGGTGGAGGATTTTTTCTTGCCTTAGAAAATCCAAAATCACCGGCTAGACGTCAAAATTTGTTAAATCGTCTTATTCATACAACATTAAATACCCATAAAGAAGAGGGGAAGCGTTTAAATGTGCAATCAAGCGATTTAGAGTTACATCAAGCCGCATTGAACCAAAATTATGAACAAATTATTGATTGTATTAAAAATAAAGGAGCCAAATTAAATATGGATGATTTAGAATTACTTGGGGTAACAGAGAATATTAGACAAAAACTGAGAGAGCAATCTAATTAATTATGAATATTGTCATAGTACATTTTTAATTCTAAATAATAATTATCTCAGCATGTCTATTAACCTTTAAAACGGGTATAGTTTAGAGAGGATCAGAAATTAAACCTGCTTACTTGTTTAATTCAGAATAGATTTCATTCTAAGTGAATATACGAAGTATCTGACTTGATTGGTTGTTTGTTCCCATACACTGTGACCGATAGAATCGATCTGTCACTTCATAGACGCATAAGACTTAGTACTACTACTATGCGCATAAAATCTAATTAATCTTCGTATGGGAAGACCAAGGACAGTTTGAAAAATATACTAATGGGTTTCTAGATTATAAACTCCTGCGATTTTATGACATAAATGTTCGGTCTACAACATGCACATACTTACCTGACGTTAAGCAAGGAAAACATTACTTGTTTTCCAAAAGAATAAGCACCGCCAGTAAGTCCTCTCAAATCCTCAGCTAACCGAATGAATGGATTTTGCGTGTGTGAAAAACTTTCGATAAATGCTAAATGGCATGAGTAACTCACTAATATTGTGAAATAACTAGATGATACAGCAACATGGGATGAAGAAAATACATTTCCTAAATGCTCCGAGAATATAAAATATCACTTTCATTGCATGTGTTCCGGACTATGTGAGTTCGGGGGGTGCCGAGTCCAAGTCATGAAGCAGGCTAATTCGAGTCCATTTCGAGTCCAATAATTTTTTCAAGCCTTTTGGGTTGTGGTTATTTATATTTCTTTTCAGTGTTATTATAACCGAAAAAGTTGCATACGTAAACTCCTGTTCCATTGGAACACATGATGTGTTGAAGTAATTAATAATTAAAAATCTATTAGTTGATTAAAATTAAAATTATATTAAATAAATTACATTTGCATTCTAGTGTCGCATGAGAAGAGGGACGCGAATTTCAATCGAGAAAATATACTTTTTCTTGTTTAATTATTTTTTAGCTTTTGTTTCATGTCTTGCTCAGCTCAAGGTAAAATGAAGCTTAGTGTTCGGTAATCTCATCCTATTTTTGTCGATATTTTTCGATACCTTTTGCTGAGTTTTTGGTAGATTCTTCTCCTTTAATTATTTGTCTCATTACATCTTTTTCTATAAATGTTTGTTTTCTCCATGCAAGATTAAATCCAATAGAAACATCGTGTATTTCTCATCTCATCAGTTCTAAGTGTACTCAACTAGTTGATAATTTTTTTCTTCTTCGTTTTTACTACATGTAAACCAATTATAGTACGAAGAAGAAGAAGAAGAAGACGCTAAAGAAAATTGTAATCACTCCTAGAAAATTATCCCGTGTGAATAGTGCAACAAATTTGAAGGCAACTAAGTCAAGGAAATAGAATGGGTAATGAGGAAATGTTGGATTATATATTTTAGTTTGTTAATGGGTGTCCGAGAATAGATTGCACTAAGTCTTGATGCATTTTTCTCTTATTTCCTATTCATAAAATAGAATTCCTTTATATACTATACGATAGACAATTCAATTCTCTACAAAAGTGTATATTTATTTTTAAGATTTATCTTTGATGTTTGGCACAATAACTCTAACAAGAAAAGCTTCAAATTTTTAACCTCGCTAAAAAATCACTTATCCAACAAAACAAGGTATACTGAAAAATTCAGCAAGAAATTTTCTATAATATGATGGATTTTTTAATGAGAAATAATGATTTTTTAAATAAAATCGGAGAAAGAGTCTTTGTAAAAGGTCATTTTCTTCTATTTTTCGACTATCTTAGCAACATCCAGTATTTTCTAACTTTTTACGGAAAAAAAGTAGCAGGTTTATTTGTGAGTTACACAGTCTAACAGCGTGCGAAATTCTACATTTTTTGGTCTTTAAACTAATGATTTGAACTTTGGATTTTATACTTGAATAGCCAAAACGCTTTTTTAGTACAAAAAACTTCATTGGACTTGGAAGTTTATGTATTAAAGCTACTAGCAATTGAAATAAATTAACTTCAAGTAAACGTTTTTTGTAAAGCATAAAATTTATTACCATTTGACGATAATAAAATGTTTTCAAATTTTTTAGTACTCATTATAAACAATTAAAAAAAAGAGAGCAGTTTGTACTTTAAAACTGCGTGGTGTAATTAAAAAATGTGAAGCATTTCTTGTTAGAGTTACTGCATCAACGATGAATCTTAAAAATAAATATACAATCTTGTAGAGAATTAAATTGTCTATCAATTAGTATATAAAGAAACTCTTTTTTTATGAATAGAAAATAAGAGAAAAATGCACCAAGATTTTAGTGTAATTTATTCTGGGACGTCCGAATCTGATGAATGTGATTTGTTTTTCTCAACGTTCAAAGCTCAATTCATGTGTGCAATCTATTTTTCAATAGATTTAATTGTAACTATAGTTTATCATGCGAAAGGATAGATACATGGTTGTATTCAGCTACGTTATATGTTGATTCTTATTCCTGATACTTTCTGAATAATTAATACTTATTTGACTAACAAGCAAATAGCCAAAAAGGAAAAGGGAAAAAAAAAATTCTTTTTTTTATCACTTTTCTCTATTTGATAGTATATCCCTGAATTAAACTGATAATAAATGCTGATTCTTGAGAATATAGTCTTTCTGTTTTTCTTATGTGTGTGTTTTTTTTTTTGGTTCTCCACATTTCGAAAAAATTATTCATTATGAGTGTCATAAGCACAACATATAGAAAATATAACATGCGAAAAACCATTTAATAGATGAGATTATCGATTTGACTATATCATTCTAATTGAAAGTAAGTGACATAAACGATAATTTTTTTATTATTGTTTATTAAATTTAAAGCAAATATCCATAAAAACTGCTCATTCTCGTCTCTGATCTTGAACAATTTAAATCTATCTTTTAATATTGAATTTGATTGAGAAGGAAGTCTTCTTTATAAAAGCGTTTTACAGATTGTAGATATGATATTTGAAATATGTAGCAAAAAATTTTAGGATAATATTTAAATATCATATAACCACATAGAAAATATTCTATTGACATTAAATACTTAAAAAGATCGGTAACGTTAAATGTACATGAAGGTAAGAATACAAAAGTTTTTTAGAATCTTTTTACTCAGTATAGTTGTTTTTTTACAGTTGAGACATATATCTGGACACGATTACTAACACCTATTGTCGACATATAAAGAGAGTGAGAGAATTCTCTGTTTTTCAAATTGTCATGCAATAATAAAAAGAAATGTTTTCAAATCTTTATATTCTCACGCTAACAGAATGTTGATATATATAATTGAAACTTGTGCTAAGATTAAATTGATTTTAGACAGACAAAAACAATGTATGATGTGTGTAATCTTTTTCAAAATCAAATTTAATTGAGTATAAGAATCATTTCTATTTTTATATTTCATTCTAGCAAATGGGTGTCGGCCAATCTAAAAGTGATGATCTTGCTGTATTAGATGAGAATACCTATGAGGTATTATCAAGATATACCAAGTTGAAACGTGATGATATTCTTGCTTGGCATGAACGTTTTACACAACAATGTACTGGAAATTTAAAAACAATGAATAAAGAACAATTTTGTAAATTTTACAAAGAACTTCGTCCTCAAGAAAATGTGGATCGACTAAGTGAGTGTGTATTTCGTGCATTTGATTTGGACGGTGATCATGGTATCAGCTTTACAGAAGTAAGTTAATTGTGTGAATCTTGTATCATTTTTACCTATTTTCTATTTTTCTTACTACTAGTTTTTAATAGCTTATATTTCAACAACTGAAGCACCACTCGAACAAAAACTTCGTTATGCATTTAATGTCTACGATATAGATAAAAATAGTTCAATTGATCGTGCTGAAATTATATTGGTTTTACGTTCAATGTTTGAATTATTGGGAATGTCTGATGCACCAGAGAAATATTCCTATGAACAATGTGCTGATAATATAATGAAAAATCTCGATTCAAACTCTGATGAACGAATATCCAAGGAAGAATTTATTCAAGGATTGAAAAATGATCCATTTTTACAAAGTTTAATGAATCCATTTCAACATGTTTAAATATATACACTTAATGGACGTTGTATATAATTTTAGTTTCTATGTGAGAGTCAAATGAAACGCATCTAATTTACCACTTGAAATATTGTTAAAATTTTGATAAGTATATCTGAATTTATCTAGTCAATTCCTTTCACACACGCTGATGATCATGAATTCAAGGGTATTTTTAGTTTTTGGTATTATTTTTGACTATGGATCTTAGTTTTTCACACCGCTGATGATTTGTATTTATCGCTTTATTTATATTTTATCAATGAATCTTTTAAACAGACGGCTATATAGCCAATATAAATGATTAATCCCATGGGAATTGTTCGCTGTGAAAGTTATTATATTTTCTCTAATAATTTAATCCTTGCAGTTCTATACATATATACATATAAGACTCAATTTTTTTTCTAACAAATCCATTATAATATATTGATTAGGCAATATTATCATGGTACATTAGAATAGAACGGCTTAAGACATAATTATTCATTGAATGAAGAGTATTATATTTTGTTTTTTGATAGCTTTATTCTGATTCTTCCAGAGAAAGAAGGATATCAAACTGATCACTAAGGTCATAACTACGTTACACTACGTAACACCCTTCTCAGAATAAAAGACTATCTGATCTTGTCGTATGTGCGAAAGCAACCAACTCTGTATTTTTCTACTAAATTTTGGTCTATTTTCATTTCTCTTTATGGAGGATATTTTTATTTTTGAAAAATAGGTATTAAAATAAAACAAAACTGATTCTGCAGTCAAGTTGGTTTGCTTCACAGCAACAGTTCAGTATAACTCAATTATTCAAACTGTACTAGCGTTGGTTAATTTGGTCGGTAAATTTTTTAATGTTACATTACTTCACTAACCGATTCATGGAGATAGTGATCCCAAAAGGCTATTGGAAAGGCATTGTGATTATTGAAAGAGATTGAGATAAATCATAATATTAGAAGAAAAGATCAAGCGATCGAAAAAAGTACAAAGAAAGATTATCGTTAATTTGAGAACGTTATTGTATGAAAATTTTTGGTTACGTTTGAAAAGGGAGACTTCTTAAATATTAACGAAAGCTCACACTCACTTTGGAAGCCACCTGTGATGTTGTTTGATCTTACAAAGCCAGTTTTTCATTTTCCACCTGTGAAAACTTGTGACAAAAATTCAAAAATGACACGTAATATCGGACACGGTTTTAAAAGATCCCGAAAAAAAGATGCTATGCACGATGTGATCGTTTATTCTATATGATCTTATGTTTCTTTTGGGAAAACCTATCTTGATTGCAAATCTTTTTCAGAACCTTGTGTTTGCATTATAGATAAAAAATAACCACATAACACTAGATCAGGGATACCAGATCCAAAGCAAGAAAATCAATAGAGTTTTGAACAAGTTCCAAAAATCAGAATTTTTCTACCAAAATCAGAAGATCTGAGATCCCTGCACCAAATGCAGAAAAAGAGATCGAGTCTCACTTTTCAATCTCGTTTTCTTCTCTAATTTTACTTTATTTGGTCGTGCTTTTCCTTTTCGTTTTCCCATCAGTTGTGAGACAGGCTTCATTCCTCATATCATCATCAAACCGATTGCATGTATACATGAATACTCTTTTTATCCCTGTTTTCATGTGCAGATCCTTTAACATTATAAAGCTACTGTAAAATAAGCTTTTCTAATGGTCTCTCATATTAGATTAATCTGTCTCATATTGGAATTTTTGTACTTGGCAACCCTGCATCAAGAATGCATCCATCACCCTTTATGATAGAGAAGATGAGAGTAGTGTGAAAATGAGTAAAAAATAACATATCTCGTGCTGTTGTAGCGATTTATTGTGAAATGGAAATTAATTAATCATAGTTTTATTTAACAATTGATGTGTTAGTGTTTCATTCACACTTGGTAGAAACGAGAGTAATTCTAAAAGCTAAAAATCGATAAGATGAAAATTAGTTTAACCAAATATTATAATTGCAAGAAAATATCTCGTGTACAATGTTATTCTGAATAACCGAAATTATAATTGAAGTAAGCAAATAAGCACAGTCGTGCGCAGTTTCACCATAATTTCATTAGTCGTCCTATAATTGTGAACGTTGATCACTCTCATTATGACCGAACTACAAACGTTTTTTTGCTATAAAATTCAAGACATTATCGCGTCAGGAGCTCTCATTGGTTTTTAAATTCTACGCCAGAAAAACTACTTTTAATACTTCATTTTACCATAATGATAGCGACCAATGCTCTCGAGTTATAGGACAAGTAACAAAAACGATGAACATTTCAGATGTTTGGTTTAAGAATCGAAATACTTTTACCGAGAATACTTTTAATTTTGCTCATTTAACTGAGTCCATGTACTATAGGAAAATCTTATCAGCAAGAAAATGTTTTTAATTTTATTCCATCTAATTTTGACATTAATTTCAACAACAATACACAAAATGAAATAATGCTTGTAAAATAATTGTCAGTCCTCTATCGGTAACTGTTCAAAAAATTCGAAATGTTGTCATGATTTTAAATTAAAGCAAAACACTCCGTTACATCGAATGCAGATAGTGGACATTCATTTCATTTCTACCTTTTTCTTAATTGTTTATTGTTTTTTAAAGTTAAAAAAAAGGTGTGAAAATCTCTAAAAAAACATTTTTGTATAAAAACTTAAGCCTAGTTTAGAAATGTATTCTGAACATTCTACATCGTTTTCTTTTCTCCTACGGGTCAAAACATTATCGTTCTATGATTAGCAAAGCGGAAAATTGTTTAAAGTACTACGCACTCCTATCTGAAATGGTATACCCATTGTACTTCATCAAGAAAAGCACAGTAAATCAGCAATAATTTAACGGAAAAAGATCGCACTGTTCTGGGTAACGTCTCGTTTTAAAAAGAATATTTTTTCCACATGGTAATGTAGTTTGTTCAAAAGACTCGACTCAATTGTGAAAAATTCTGAAGTTTTTTAGATAATCATATGTTTTTTCGTGTGTTGAAAAATGTTCCAGGAAATATGTAAAAATTTTCTTGAGCAGCAGATACATACACTAACTCAAATATATCTTTATTTAATTAAGATTGTTTGCAGCGAAGAGCTCTCTAGATAAGCTTCAGCTGTATTTATAAATTTGTTCTTAACTATTTATTTTTCTTGTCTCTTACAGCGAACTTAAGAACTTTCTGACAACAGTGGTAATCGTATATCAGATCAAATCTCTTAATGAATATAGTATAAAACGATAAGAGATACAAGTGGACGAAATTTCACAAACAGTATAGATGTGTAACTCTCCGATTACAGTAGAATAATACACGAAAACAGATACGATTACATGTTAAAAAAGTTTCAAAAACTAGAAGGATAAAGGATAGAAATTTTGTGATTTTCAAGAGAAAATTCAATGTTATTTGACAAACTTAACAAATATACATTTTTATTTTCGATTAACAACATAAAAATATATTTTTACCGATGAACCATTCTTTGCTAACAATTTAAAAATAACAACAGTTTATAACGAATATATGTCCCGTTGAGTTTTTCTATCAGACACGCTGTGTCACAATATATTAAAAAAATATATAAAAATATTTATTTGCTACTGTATAAAATTTAAGTGAATACATTTAATCATTTAATAAATGTATTACAATCAACAACCTGTCGTTGGCTCCATTACGGAGCGTCTCTATTCCTATGATGTTGATGAACTTATTGAAGCATTAGCCTATCGTGGTATATTATCAAGACATATAGCTCGTAACAATATTCTACCATCTGATATCTTTATTAATTCATCAACAAAATATCGAAATATCAACGTATTACCAACATATGGAAATACAAACTATCGGTTTTATCATACATATGATCAACATCAAAATCCACATTATTATAGAAAATGTATCACACCTTTACCATCGTTGAGACCGCATACAGCAATAAAAAACTGGACAACATTGCCAACAATTTCAACAAATCCAAGTTTAAAACGTCAATTAAGCATATTTGGATTAGATTTACCTAAAATTACTACTCATCGTTCATGCGATTTATGTGATTATCATCGTCGTCAATATAATCTCAATTTTGATAATGAAGACTTTTTACCATTTTTTACAAATGCAAAGCAATATACAGATCATTCATAAACTACATCATTTATTTAATATCTTCTATAATGATAATATTTCTCTGTGTTTTAGATGACTATTATTTATGATTAATTCAATTGGGAGTTACAAAGTGCATATGATCGTTATAAAATAAAAAAACATCGTATTCAACGAAAACTTTATCTTCGTCGTCGTTGGAAAGCTGTTGCTTTTGTTCTCATATTTTATTATTTTTTAAAACATAATCTTAATATAGCTCGACAATCACCAAAACATGACTATTCAAAAGATTATACACGTTTAAGATTTTTAGAATTATTAACTGCAATTCATCGTGTCTATTTGGAACCACAATCGCGTATACATTTAGCTCTTACAGATATTATTTATTTTAATCTTGATTTAAGTGAAATAATTCTTTCACATCATGATTACAAATATTTTGGTACAGAAACAATTGTTAAAGCTTTAAAAACTATTATTGATAATATAACTGAATTTATGCCTGTAACAGGTATTTTAGGAACATCCAGTGATGAATCAGTATTAAAATATCTATTAATGTGTAAATTTGACGATTATCCAACAAATTATTTTTGGATCGTCGAAAAACGAATGTTAGCAGTAAATGATGATACTACAAGAAGAATAGATGGTGTCATTGATCATTTTAAAGCAAAATATTTGATTATATCAGCATTTTTTTTTCGTAGTTTAATTAAAACTTTACTTTATAAACCTGTCAAATATCGTTTATTGAGAGGAACAATAACAAAACGACAATGGAATAATATTCGTTTATTATCAACACTTTTACTTTGGTGTACACGACATGCTGTCGATCAAACGCAAACAATGCCATTTCCATGGGAAATGCAAGAATTTTTATTTGATGACGACAAATTATTAACATTTTATTCACGAAAAGATATTGAACAAATTGTTAATCAATCATCAAAACGAATAAGTGCATGGGCATGTGAATATGCCGAACGATTAAGAATATCAATTACAACCAAAAAACAGAAAAATTATCAACACTAATAAGAAAATCTAAAAAACTAACATTACCGCAGATCACATTTGGAAATAGGCACTTTTCTAAATATGCTCTAAAAATATGGTATCATCATGCCATAAATTATTTAACAGTATTATTTTTTTTCTTGTTCTATAGTAGAGACCTTTCTAAACTACAAAACAAAGAACCCTGAAGTTTCCAATAATTTACCTTGTCTTATCATTAACAAATACAGCATAATTATAGAGATTTTACACAGTACTGTTTGTTCAACTGAAATTTTTATTTATAATTTTATCTTATTTTATTATATTTTTTAGTATGAATACAGAGACTAACATTTTCAGTACAAGACATTGAGAATACTGCGTTGAAAACGCTTTATTTATTGCTTCTTTTTATTGTTCGATACGATTGGGACTAGAGATGTGCAACCCGATCCGTACCCGTATCCGATCCGATCCAACTCGAAGGTTGGGTACGGGTATGAAGTTATCGGGTACGGGTTCTATTATTTATAATTTACCCGAAAACCGGAAGGTTCTAGTGGAAAATCCACAAAATTTTAATGAAAAAATACAGGAGTTTAGCTAAAATACATGAAGGTTTAAAAAAGAATTACTTAAGAACGTAATGATAATTTGACATCTTCAGCCGAAAAACAAAAGGTTTTAGATGAAAAACAAAAAGTAGAAAATTTTTAGGCATAAGTTGGGTACGGGTACAAAGTTGTCGGGGCGGGGCGGGTACGCGTACGAAAATGGTACCCGTACACATCTCTAATTGAGAAGATGGGACCAATGTAATTTCAAGTCATCGAGCTTTTAGACTGGTGCTACTGATAGAAAAATTCATGTTAAAAAGGCTTAAGGGATCTTAAGAAAAACTCTTAGTCTATCTATGGTGTGTCATTTTCTGTTCCATCTCTTTACAAAAACCTGGACAAGCTAGAACGCTTGGATTTATATCATTGAATAACCCAAACCTGGTACTCTGTCTACATACAAATGATTTTAACATTGAACTATATTTGGCTCTTATCTGATTAAAAAAATAATAAAAACCTTCACTTATTTATATCGCTAAATTACTGATCAAAAACAAACTTTTAAGAGAAAAAGTTGAATGTAAAGACGAAAACTATACCATTCCATAGTTGAACTCTTGACATATATTTTAGTAAAAAAAAGATTTTCCGTAATTTGATTCCATCTTAATAACTTGACCCAAAATATTTGATGTTATAATTCTTTAAAAAGTCAAACAATATGTGGAAATATTGAATCAAACGCACATATATTCAAGTGAAAATTCTACTTGTCACATGACTCTGACCTAATTTTTATTCAGACACTTCTATGTGTCACTTGTGTTTGATTGTGATATTTTGGCCTTCTTTTTCTTACTCTCGAATGTTTTTCGTTTATCTAGAATTTTAGAGCAGAAGATTCTATTTTAGATCAATTATTTTCAAGGCTTAATTCCTTATCGTTCAAGCAGTCACGACGTACGTGCATAATTTGACAATCGAAACGCTCGAGGTATTTTATGGAGAAAAAGCTGTTCTATAACATATTTCAAATAAGAGAATAATTCCAAATGGACTTGTTGAATATAATATAATCTCGACTATCTAGGAACGTCGATTTAAAAGACATCAAAGTTTTCTCCTGAGAATTTAGAAATAAAGTCTATCTTATTCAATTTTCTACGCTTTTCAGATCAACTTATCAAGATGAAGTCGGATTATATAAAAATCTCTGTTTACCAAAGTGTATGTCAAGAGTTGTAATTGCTGAAATAATATAGTTTTCGTCTTTATATTCAACTTTTTCCTCTTAAAAATTTGTTTTCGTGAGTAGTTCAACAGTCGATATATCTGCATAAATGAAAATATTTCATCCAAAAGCACTGGACATGAGACCAGATTTTCATTAGGTTTTTTCCATTTTATCACAAAATGTAAAATAGTTGATGATTTATGTTTTTATTCATTCAGCTGTCTCTAGAACGAAAAGCAAGATTTGTATACGTTGGTAATGGTAGATCACATAAAATATAGTGGAAAGTATAGCGGATGATTATGATGAAATACTAGTAAACATTGAGTCACTTTCTGCATCATGAAAAAAAACTTTATTCTTTCAAATTTATTCAAAAACTTTATCGAAAATTCATCCGGATGGTATCAAACGTCAGAATAATCTGATCTTATATTTTGACAAATCATGAGCACATGAAACTTAGTCAACTCATCATATTTTATCTGAAATTATGATGTTATTCGTATACTTTATACATTTTCGAATTGTTGCATACATGTACTGTTCAACTATTTTTATTTTTTATTAGCAAGCTTGATTTTTCTATAGAAAAGACGATCAATGTACTCGCAACACAGATAAAAAATGTATAAAATGTCCATTATTTGATGTGTGTATGATTTTCATTTTCACACTCTTTATGCAAACTTAAATCACATTTTGGATCTTTTAACAGTAGTTCAACTATTTTAAAATTTCGTTTTGAACAAGCACGATCAAGCGGAGTCTGTTGATATTTGTCAGTACCATTAACATCAGCACCATGTTCAAGAAGTAACTTAGCAATCTGAAAAAAAAACAAAAAGAAAAAATGAACTATAACTATCAGTTTAAGATAAAAATTGATCAAATATGATCGACATTGTTACGTGCATCATAATAATTTTTTGAACAAGCATAATGAAGTGGACGAGCACCGGCAACATTTTGTTGATCAACATCAACATTTTTCTCTAGTAACATACGAACAATATCCAATCGTCCAGTAGACACAGCAATCATTAACGGTGTCCATCCTGTCTATAAAATAGTGTACAGACTTAACAATTATTTATTAACTATATTGTGACTTACTTCATCGGCATCATCAACGGGTAAACGATATTTTGTTAACAGAAATTCAACAATATCTGTTGCACCGCTTGAACAAGCCCAGTGTAAAATTGTTCGTCGATCCTATTAAAAAGTAACATAATAATTGCAAAATTGAAAAGAAAAAAACTTACGCACACGATCCTTCTTTTTAATACAATTTGGATCTTCTTCAATTTTTAATTTCAAAACATCAAACTGTTTCTCATAAGCTAAATTACATATCTCTAAATCAGATACGTTCATCTAAAATATATTTCTTATAAGTTTCACTCTATTTATGCATATAAAAAACTTTGTATTAAAAATAACAACGTCAATAACAACATATAATCACTATTCTAAAAGAGCTTTAACACAGATGAAATTATGTGACTTTTGTAGAAAAATGATTTGTTCATTGATCAGTGTCAAAGTTAAGTGAGTATATTGTCGAAATGATAATGTATATTGCGGATATGTTTCAATTTCGCCGCTTTTCGGTTGGTTTTGTGCTGATAAAAGTTCATATAAGACAAAAGACGGTTGATATGTAGCACCAATAAATGTATATTGTTCAAATTCATCACGATGAAATACATAGATAATTCGACGTTCATCGGTATTGTGTATGCATAATGACTGTGAAGTGTTAAATCGTACAGTGTGTGCAATCGTACTCGAATTCAATTCTAATCGCTCTATGGAATGAATCAATTGTGTCGGAGTATGAGAATAAATACTAAGTGATGATTCTTTTACAATTGGTCTTATCTAAAAAAATGTTTACAGACACAGTCATGCAACACTATTTTAATGTCACCATATGATTATGGGAACTTTACGATTAAGCAATAAGATATTATACATACTGATACAAAGCCAAGTTTGAGTTGAATTTGATCCGACGGATGAGGGCCAATATCCAATGATATTTCAGTTACTGATGTTTTTTGATCGAATTTTACATGAAAACTCCTGAGAAAAAATCAACAGTATTTGTGGAATGATAATGTTTTGGTATATAAAATGCCCAAAAAACTTTTATCCGATTCTTTTTTGTTCAGGCAAGGGTTAAGTTATACATCGTTCGATACACCTCGATGAACTGACTACAGATATCATATTTATTTTGATTAAAAGTGCTCATCTGCAAAGAGATTTAGAGTTTCCCGTGGAAACTAGAGATTTTTGTGAATTATCTCCTGAACCACAGGTAAAAAAAGAAATAGCTCTCTACCCTTAAAGGAAAAAAAATACGTTAAAAATCCGGAGAAGTCCATTCATTATGACGCACCCATTAGAATAGATAGATGAACATTTTGATAGTGAGCATAGTGGGCAAGATTAGAGGAGGTGACGAGGGACGAACTGATCACGTTAAACACAGCTGGTCGAAAAGCTTTTTAGAGAGTAGTATTTTTATTTTTCTCAAACTTTAACCCCAAATTTCAAAAGTCGTTAAACAAACCGTGATTCTGTGTGTGCATTTACTATTTTTACTGTGAGACTATGTCAAGAAGGCAAAATACAATTTTCAAGTGGAAATAAAAGCAGGAGGAAGGCTATAACTAAATTGGTTTCCTACTATGGAGGAAACAGTGGAGAGAAAAAGAATATCATCGGTTTACCATCTTTCCCATTTGTTAATACTTTGTTTTTTCGATGAAATTGTAATCCGTGACAGATTTTGTTTGTTGACGTGATTATCATCTTCATTATCAGTTGTAAGACTGCAAATTGAATTATCATTTAGTTTCAATTTAAGAGCAACAGATAGTGTTAATGATTCTGGTATTTTGAAAATCTTGGAAAAAATGGATAAAATCAATTAACTTTCTGATCATGTCTGATACGAACAGTCCACACTTACATAGACTACTTCCATTTCTGATTCGATCGGCAAAACGCATTTAAACAGACTAAATAATTACAATTGGTTCATCTTTTACTCGCTTTTTAATAAAGTAAATTGAGACTCTTACTTAAAACAACCAGTTTCTTTGAAAAGCAGACATGAACCAGCAAAATAGGCGTCATCATGTGAAATCGAAATTTGACTATTAATGTATGGCATGTACTGTTGGAGACCAAGATGATGCCAGATATTTGTAGAAAATTTCTATGGATGAAGAAAGAATGATTGTGTATATCTGGAAAGTGGATGCCAAGTCTTATTACCTGGCCATGTATAAAAAATTGAAGTCCCGAACCATCTGAAAATGTTGTCGAAAACGATTGTATTTGTAATGAATATTCATTAACATAAGGCTTCAATAAATTCCAAAATCTATAACAGATAAATATATTGCAATTGGGTAGAATGTTATTTCTTTTGTATTCTTTACTTTGTTTCATTTTCCTTGAAATTTTCACCACCCAAGTGTTCATATACCCATCCTGGAGCAAATAATGCCGTGCTCAATTCAGTATTTTGAACAACGGACATAGCCTAAAACGACAAGACCTGTTTAGATATTTGTACGCTTAGGACTATCTATGTTCACCTCGCAAGTATTGAATCCCCCGTTACCTAAGCATCCTCGTCCCCACACGTCAACTCCCACAAATACATCGAGATAACGCTCATTTGCTTCCACTTTTGACCTTTTAAGGTTATCTTCAGTCCATGTATAATTCAAAAAGATGCCATCACACACATCAAAAAAGGGTCTAACAGAAAAAAAGTATATAGGGAAAAATGGCCGTACAATTGCACGAATACCTGTTCAATGCATTCAATTCATTCTGCCACTTTAAATCACCATCAGTTGTTACTGAATCATACCATAAGACAATGCTATTAGCATCTTTTCTTGCACAAGCTTGTTTAAGTTTCTCAACGAAGGATAATAGTCGATTGATATCACCAGACTAAAAACAATAAACATTACAGTTAAATTACGAATCAACTGGCTGTGTCTTTTAAATCAATTACCGGTATTTTATTTTCAATATTAAGTAACCAACCATCAAAATTATAAAAGAACATAATTTCGGCTAATTGCGTAGTAATTTGATTAATTATTTCATCAGATGCAAGTAATTCTTGACAAATCAACATCCCCTGATCCCATTCTGTTATAAATGTACCTGTAAAAAAAAATAAAACACAAATGGTTAAAAGCAAAACTGAGATACACACTACTTGTTACCTAATACTTTGACACCATTTTGATGGGCACAATCAATCCAGACAACAGGAGGAATTGTGACCAATTCATGTGAAAAATAACAAAATATATCAATTATGCTCCAAAAATAAAAACGATATGCATCAGATGAATAGCATCCTTGACGATATTTATCTTCTAAATAACCGCCTTTCATATCATGACAAAATAAAACTTTTCGCTTTGAACAAGAATTCAGACGTTTAAATAATTTACAACATATAGGCTTCATTAAATTTAAGGATGACCATTGAAGTATATCTGTCCATTGTTTAATAGGTGAACAGACTATACACTCGTTCAAACTAGCCATTATCTTTAATAAAAAAAAAACACAATCCTATTAGCATTATATATTTGGAAAAATCATACTGCACTTCTTACAAGAATCGAAAACAAACTTTCATCAACTTGTCAAAAATAATCAAATTATTATAAGCGTCTAATAGAAAATTTTGTCGAACCAAAAAACGATGATCTAATCTGCGGACGAAAATGATCCTGTAGAAATTGTGTAGATTAAAGAATTTTCTTGAAATGACTATAGATGAAATAAATATAAAAAGAATAAATTGTATAAAGGGAAGAAAAAGAAGAAAGACAGAACTATTTTAGTATTGTCTGTTCACATAAGATAAATATATTATATAAAGAGTCAACAAAATTGTATCTATTCTCCTGTTCAACGATTAATGTAACGTACTAAAATTCACAGGTACATATTCAAACGACAGTTTTTAGTTCATCTTTGAGTTAAACGTTACGAATGGCATATCCTTCCACAAATTAAAAAGAGAAAAAGATTAATTTAATTAATAAATTTAACAATGATATTCTTTAAACGTCATTAATTCTAAATGGATAGTGAATGATCAACGGGAAATCATTCATATCCACGTGAAACAAATATAAAGTTCATTTTCAGAAGTCGAAAAGTGCTTTTTCGTATTCAGTACACTCGATAATGCCGAAGATTTTCTATTTTTGACGAGGGATACTGCCAAAAGTTTACAAAAACTTTTCGAACAAAATGGCGGAAAAACATGTCCATGGAAAACAAATATTAGTTTTAATATTTTTCCTAAATATTTGGCAGCATTTCTCGTCAAAAATAGAAAATCATCGGGATTATCGAGTGTGCTGAATACGAACAAGTACTTTTCATCGACTCTAAATGAACTTTATTCTTCTGTTGGTGGTATGATTTCGTGTGCATGTTCAGTTTTTTGGCAACTCAACTTCACTAGATGAAAGTTTCGAATTTTTTAACAGATAAAGTTGAATATTAATTTTTTTTTAAATAAGCTACGATTAACATGATATTCGCTATTCTACACTATATAAGACAACGGACAAACGATATCTAATGCAAATGATATCCAGTTTTTTTACTGTTTAAACTCGAACCTTTCATTCAATGAAGTTAAGCTGCTAAACGACGAAGTACACAAGATAAGCACTAACCACCTGCCAACATTTAGTATTTTTGACAAGTTTTAGGAGCACAAACAAGTTTTAAAATGATTTTAAACATGAAAGATATATTGCGAAACATGTTAAGTGAATTATTCAAAAAGAAGAAAAAGAGGAACAGCTTTAGAATTTTACAGATAGAAAATTCTCTATCTACAAGCATACATTCGTCTCGCATGAGAACAAGTTATAATGACGTTAGCTTAAGTGGCGCGTGGAAAAAAGATTTGCAATAGTGTCATCTTAAAAAAGAGATATGGATTTAAATATTTTATACCAGACTAGTGACTCGTTACCAATAGTACAAATAAAAGTAAGTGCATATTTACTTATAAAAATATCCAACCGATATCAAACATTAATCTTTATAGCAAAAGACCTGGCTTCAAAAACTTCATTTTAAACGTCGAAAAGCAGATACCGCTGAAGAAATCGCTGAAATATATGAATTAATTGAAAATGTTTACGAAGCGATGGATGATCAAGCTAGAGCCATACTTCTTTCCCTTAGCAAAGTTGTTCAAGATGAAGAAGAATCGGTAACTACTGAACAAAAATTGAAAGCAATTATTAGCATCGGACATTCATTGTGTTTAGGTACATAATTCTTAAAACTCATGAAGTCACGAAATGAATTAACAATTGCCTTTTTCCATTTAGCTCACTTACAAGTGAAAAAATCGACGCAACTATATGCAAAATTACTGTTTGGACTGCTATCAAATCAAAGTTTAATAATGAGATTAGCAGCGATTATTGGTAAAAAATAGAATTCAGATATACAATAGTATAATTATACAAATAGTATAATTTACGAAAAAAATGCTAAAAATCGCCTAAAAAGCAAGCACATTTCTCTGAATTTTCTGATGCCTGTAACTTTGCAACGAAAGATTGTGGAGAGCTGTGCGACGCTTCATTTTTTTCAGAATTTTATGCTCTTTTAGATGGCTATATTGAAAATATTTTTAGAAAAATTCTCTAGGATTTAGAGCTCTGCTGGAGGGTTTTTTCTAGAAAACTTTCTTCAAAACCTTCTTTCTGAAATTTTGACGCATACTGCATTTGATAGAGAACTTTAAGGGCTATCCAAATCACTATTTAGATTTAACCTAAACACTCTGCTTCATCGAAAAATTTCAAAAATACAGTGGCTCTATAATTTTTCTCTATGTGTTTTCTTTGAAGTATAGAAAATAACAATTTCTTTTAGCTATTGGCGAAATAGCAATCGATAATTTAGCGTTTCAAATGAAAGTAACTCTATCAAGTTTGATGCGAGTGTTCAACTCGCCTATGTTAGTTTTCTTTTTAAGCTAAATGAAATGAATACTATACATAAACTATTTGAATTAATGAAAGAATCGTTACAGTACGCCGGAAGAACGGTGGACGATATTAACGAACATTCGAAAGTAGTAGCATGGACATGTTGGACAATTGTTAATATTTGTACAAACTGTGTACCAAACATCCTACTTCTAAGAGGTTAGTTAGAGACGCAAGTAACCTTCTAACATCTGAAAGAGAGGAAAAAGGAAGCATGGCAGAGTTTCATTCGGGAAAGTGTAATTCAATTTAGTCTTTTATGCGTGCAAGCTCTGTACAAGATGTTGACGTTCTTTCGGTGAACACCCTCGCCCAACCAGTATCAACAATTTTTTTAGTAGATTGAACACTTGACTGTTGGTAATACTAATCTAAAAATGCAGAGAAAATGAAAAACATTCGGCCGAGTGTTTTTCTTTTGTCCTATAAAAATATTTTACCGTCCCAGTGCCATTCAAAAAGTTCGTTTTGCACTGATGCGCCTCAGTACCAAAGTTTTGTTTTCAATCACCATTGTGTTTTGTCAGTTTCTATCTATATAAACATCACAGTATACTTTTAATATTTCGAATGTCTTTCTGACTTCATCTTTTCGTTTCCATAAAAGAAGTGTTGATACAGTGCCGCACGGTTTTGGCATGGCAATGTGGTAGCGATATCAGTCAATACTGCACTCTAAGTAATACAACCAAAGATAATAAAAAAAACTAATCAGTGATTAGATAAATTCCAGTGCAGCACTTTGCAGAAGATATATATATCGGCACCGCTCGGTACTTTTTAACACCGGTGTATACTGGATTCTTTTTTAGGGATGAAAAGCAGTCCTATGGCGTAAAGATATCGAATAAACATGTGCGAGGTCCTTCACACAACAGATTCTATCAAGTCCGTAAAGAGCTTTTGTCAAAAAATATGTTACGATATCAGCCAAAAAAATGTATGAGTTCCTTTTGAAAATTCACAACTCTTCAGTCAAGTAACTCACAGTTTCGGATTGTCTCATTTTGTAGATCAAACATTTTATTTAAAGCGTTAAAGAAGCAACATCTAGTCTTAATCCGAACCATAGTGCCTTCTTTTACCTTTCTAATTTTACTCCAAACACCTGCTCAATTTCTGCTAGATCTACACATCATGCCACTATAGTTTTATCCGCGTTTCTATCTTTTTATTTGAAGAAATTGTACCATCTGAATATGAAACAATCTGCGAAGCAGCCAAAATGGAAATATGGAGATGTATATGGCGTGAAAATTATGCGACAACAATCGCACGGTTTGGAGGAAAAATCCTTCATTCAACTGAGTGTGCTGCTCCACAACCATATAAATTTGACGGTGCTTTTGAAAAACCGACTGATAGACAACACATTCGAAGATTATCGTTTTCACTGGAATATCGAGGATGTATTCTTTTGTAAAGAATCTCGACAACCACTATGATGTCGTAAAGCACTAATTTGTATCAACTTAAATGATGATAAAGGAACTAAGTGATAGTCTTTATTTATTATAAGCGTTCAAAGAAATCTCAGGTTTAGTTGAGATCTTATTTCTACTATTAAGATACACTTTATTAAAGAAAGTTCCTCTATAACGAAGAACAAGAACGTTTCTCACATCGTTTTTTTTTCCAAATTACGGCGTAGTACTCCGTAATCAAGAAATTACGATCCAGCAACAAAATTTTACGAAAACGTCAGATAAGATAATGCATCGTAACTACACTATATTACGACGTAAAATATACTAGAGACGTAGTGAAATATGAAAAGAAAGAATCACACACATCTGACAGCCACTTTTGAGCGTTTTTCATGGTTGATAGGATTTGGTAAACAAAACTCAGCTTGAATTAAGACTATTATGACTTGCTTTCTTTCTTTTTATCGACTAAACTGTGTATAGCGTAGAGATTTACTCATAACTTTTCATTGATTGTAAAATCGACCAATAAAAAAGAATCGATGCAGAAAGCTGTAATGCTTGGTTTTTCCCCGGTAGCCGTCAAAGATAGCCGTCAGGAGCCACTTTCTACATGAAAAGACGAAGAAAGTGACTCCTGACGGCTATCTTTGACGGCTAGCGGGTAACAACCCCCTGGTGGATGTACCTGCATATAAGTACTTGGTCAAGTAATCCCCAAGTACTAGCAGACCATTCGACAAGTAAATTAAGTACCTAAAGAGCTGAAAATACCCGCCAAGCTCCTAAGTACTTGCAGAAATTTGAATGTAAACAAATATCCGCGCATATTCAGTAGGGTATCGTAACTCCCTTTCGCTGCATGACAGTTTCCGTTTTTTTAATATTGTGAGCATTGTTGAAAGAGGAATAGATGTGAAACAGTAGAAAAAAACGATGTCTCAAGATAGATTTGTTCTGGAGATACTTTGATTTGACAGCAGAGAATTGTTACGAAAGTGGATTGAGTTACGGTGTACCTTCACAGCGAAAAACGATTAATTAGACGATAAGCATTGAGCGATTGTTATTATTCAAATTTTCTGTTAGCCCCTTTAGTACTTCTGACTATATTAGTGCGCTTCGACTTCAACAGATAAAAGAAATGTTAGCCTATAGCAGGTTGTGTATCTTACAAACGTCTGAAGCATGTGTGTTATTAATGTAACGTTTAGTTTTGATTAATGTAACTCCTAAGCATTATGTTACATTAACCAAAAGATAATCAATCAATCAATCGAAGTAATAGGCTTTAGTCAGGATCGCTGTCATTGGTAGTCGATAGAAGCCAATAGACTTCCTTAGCCGTAGTTGTTGTTCTAGTTGTGGGACGATTATATATGAATGTGTTCACTTGAGGACAAGTAACCCTTCATCATATCTTCTTTTGTATTTTAACAAACACGCTCTCGTAGTGCAGTCGCATTTAGTGTTCATAATGCTTGAGTTTTTGATGTGGAGCAAATAATTGAATAAAATTACCAAGTAAACTTGCGGCATCTTTTCTGACCAATTGCTTAAATCGACAATACTTATGGCAATGAAAGAATTGAAACAATGTTGTTGTTATTGTTATTATTAAAGTTTTTATGGATTTTACGTCAATATAAAAAACATTTCGTGCTGAGACTTTTGCTTCATTTTTTCTGTAACAAATGAGGCTTCCTAACCATTCAAAAAGTGTAAACAATACTTAAGGCATGATCTTTTAACTTCGCATATCGATCTATCTACGATCTTTTATCTGATCGATGAACCCAATTATTTTTACTGTTTTTATTTAGTTATTTCAGTATGACTGGTTGTGTTTTACTACAGACCATCTACTTATGATTGTTTGTTTCAGACGAATATGACCCTATTTGCGCATTTATATATTTGACAAACAAAAAATGTCTGACTCCACGTATATTTCGGGCACAAAACCAAAAAGCATCATCTCTATCCGTAGTAAATTAAAGAGTGAAGATAAAACAGTCAACAATAATAACGGCGATCAAGATTTATCAACTTCTTCCACATCAGAAGATGGCCACACTCTGTTAAGTGAAACCGTAACAACACTGGCAAGTAATGTTTATAATGAACTTGAACGAATTATCAAAAATTATGGTGAAAGTAGTGTTAAAGATTTAATGCCTGTTATGATTTCAACGTTGGGTACATGATTATACCTTGAAATTGAGATTGTACTCTCTAAAATGTTTGTTGATTGTTTAGAATCACTTGATAGTGCTTTGAACGATAAAGAAGTTCGACAAATAGAAAATGAGTCACTCAAAGAGCAAAATGATCAATTATTTCAACAATACGAACGAGAAAAACAATTTCATAAAGAATATCAACAGGTAAAATAGGTGGCAGAATATCATCAAAAAAAGATGTGCCCATACGAAATGTTCATGTGCTTTTTTGATCTGAGCTTTATCGTTCTAGAATACATTTTCTACTATAGATTTTTTTCTACTTAGCGTTACTTACAAGTTGAAGATAATTTAGAAGAAACAAAACGTGAAAATGATGAAAAACTACAAAGTCTAGAATCAATCGTGAAAATATTTGAAATTAAAGCGAGAAATGCAGCTGATCACGGTGAAACAAGAAAAAAAATTATATTTGTAGTTTAATATATAATGCTATCTTCCCTTTTTAGTGTCACGTCTGGAAGAAAAAGAATCAGAAATGAAACAAGAATATAAACGTTTACACGATCGTTATTGTGAAGTAAACAATGTTGCCCAGTTCAACTGATTAGTCTAACAAATAGCTGATCTACTACTTTTAGCTTTTCCAAACTCATTGTGACTATGTAGAGAGAACAAAAATATTGTATGGAACAGATCGATTAGATCACCTACCAAGCAGCGCATCCCGTGCACGGTATGTTCCTCTACTGGAAAAAGTGACCACCGTTGCTACGTTACTTTTATCTTAATAGAAATAATATGCATTTACCAGTTCAACAACCACAGGCCGATAGTAAAACGATATCTTCTACTACAGTGGCAAATGATACTACACCGACACGAACAGATATCAATTTCCCGTATGTTGTGTGTTTTAAAGAAGGAAAATTCGATCTGATTATTGATTATATTTATGTTTTCAAGTTCATACAACAGGCCAATTGTGGGCGCAAATTTTCGTTCTGAACTTGAATCATCACATGGAATTTATACACAAACAGATACATTATCGAGCAATGATGCAGCTGTAAATACAGGTACAATGGGGTTCATCACGTCTCTTTTTTGCGATCTTTGGAGAAACAGTTCATTTTTTTCATCTTTCTTCTGTTGGCACCTAATTTCATTTTGGTTAGTTTTCCATGATTGGTTAGATGGTTGGCCAAGTAGTAGCGTTCGTAAGTAGAATAAATAATGAACAACGAGGCCATTTCTATTTTTTGATGCATGAATGCATGCCAGTTGATAACGGAGAAAATGTTAAAAAACAAATTTCTACCTTTGTTTGAGTTGATTGATTGTTTGTTTTCTCCTCTTTTTATCATTTCAGCAGTTAATGCCAATGGAAAGGATAAAAAAGTATCACCAGCATCGAATGTGGAAAATGCCAATATGGGGACGACAGCATCTGTTGTAGAGGGGATACCGTTACAACAGATGGCATCAGGTCTGATCTATTGGCATGATTCTTGTTGTTGTTTATATTGCTGCTTATTGATGTTGTTTCGATTTTGGTGTCAAGCTTTGTTGCTTGCTTGCACTGAAATAGTGTTACCTAATCTATCAAGAAGTGCTGATTTTTCGTTTGTCTGTTGTTATAAATAGCTAATTTAAAAAGTTCAAAAGCATCGATATTATCGCGAATCAATAATTCACTATCTTTGTGTACGCTGGTCTAGATCTAATAATCGTTCATTGCTTTCAGCTAAATTTTCAGAAAAAATATTGTGAATAATTTTTAACATTCATAATAATTTTCAAATATATTGGTGACAGCTGGGCTACTAAAATAAAGAAGTTTAGATCTCTTGTTCGAAAAAAAAAGTAGTGTTAAAAGCATAACACACAAGTAAGAATATGTTAGACAAATTTAGACGTAGCTCACTAAATTGCATGATCTATGAAGTTTCTAAGAGAACGTAATTATAGTTTTCGATATGTTATTCAACTAGAACTTAACTTGTCTTTTTTATAATCCTTATATTTCCGTCATGATACAAATGGGAATATATGGGTTAATCAAAGCTCAATGAATATCAAAGGAAAATCCTTTTGAAAAACTACAGTTCAATTGATGCATAGTCGATTAGTATGTTTGAATATACTTGGTATCTCCGTCTGTTAGTTTAAGGATGATGCCAAATTTGCTCATTATGGAGTGAAACGAAACTTCATAGAAATACACGGTTTGATCTTAAACATTCATTTTTCAATTTAAAAAATATATTTTATAGTGTGGTGATGAGAAAGCTTCGGAGCTGTGAGTGCTATGTTTAATGTAACTTTTTCGTTCAGTTCTCTCTTGTCTCTCTTTCGTAGACTTTGGAGAAAATGATTTTCGGTCTAATAGTGGTAAGCTTAAACATTTGCACATTGCCGCAGATAAAAAATTTTTTTGCAATCCTTACGTCTAACAAAATAAATTTATTACTTTTGATCAATGATCAAAAGTTTTCTATTCTAATGCTTTTCAATAAAGCATGGCTGTGGGATAGACGAAAAACAAAAAAAAAAGAGAAAAATTTATGCATGAAAAGGAAATTTTTGTTTATTAAATACTATTTGAAGAAAAAAAAAATGTTTCTTTAGAGCTTAATCTCTACTAGAAAATCTGTACAACAAAAACTCAAGTCCGTGGATTTCAAACGCACTTACTGGTTAGATTTATTTATTTGTAAAATAGTCACATTCGCTTTATGCAAAGGTTAAAATATCACATGTCATTTGTTTGCTATTGTTAATATAATTTTCGATGTAATCACTTGTTATGTAGTTTAAATGCTGATCCCATCTGTACAGAGACTTCTAATGTCGACTTGTGAATTGATTTACAAATAGATACTTTCAAAAAGTATTCTGAAATAATCGTCGTTTTTGTCATTGTTTTAAATGAATACGTTCATATAGGTTAATCATATTGATCAAAAATCGGATCATTGTTGTTTTGTAGTCCTTGTTATTGTACGTCTAATATAGAGAAAAGAGATGATTACTTGTCACCATCTGCTCATTAAACATTCAGTTTCATAATTGATGCTGGTAAAGAAGAAAAAAGTAACTGAGCTCGCTAAACATTTTCATTCTGCTTATTGTATGTCACATTGTTCATTTTCATGTATATTTTACTGTTAATCTATAAATTTTTGAATGCATGATATTATATACCTGCTTATTGCATGTTTGTAGGAATATTTTCCAAACTACGAAGTATGAATTTATTATCCGAAAATTTTGATGAGCAACAATTATTTGAATCGGCCGCAGAATTCGAAGAAAATCAAGGTTTAGTATATATCTCTATATATATTTTTTCTTTTTTTCTTATTCTCTAAAATTAATTGATTTTCTGTTTACAGTAGACATATAATACTTTTAATAAGATATTGGGTCAAAATCTCGGACTTACTCACAGTTAGAATGACTAACTTTTCTCAAATCAAGTTAAATCACAAGTCCTGACTTGAAACTCTTTTTTCCTAGAAAAAAGAAATTTTAGTAGTATTCGCCTACTGTGTTGATAAAAAATGGATTTGTCTTCGATTTTGTCTTTATAATTATTTTTTGGAGAATGGCAAAAATCACTTATAAAATCATAGTATTTCGATGGAGGAGCACTTTTATCTAATACTGGGTTAAAGTTCCCGACCTGATCATGTATTTTACTCTAAAATCCAAAGCAAAAACCTGTTTTCCTTAGTTGATAACTTGGCTTGATTTGTCAGATCAAGTCACAAGTCATTTTTAATTTGACTTGTCCAAGTCTATTTTTCTCTTAGTTAAACGCTGTTTGGAGAATATTAAAAATATCGTTTATTGAGTATTATTTACTGCATTTTATCATTTCTAAACGATTATTATCTGCATGTGTGTGTGTGTTTTGTAGTGTTCTCCATTAATATTTTTTTTATAAAAACAAAAATTCACAATTTATTGTTTCTAAAACATATCTATTTTTAGATGCTGATACACAAGGAAGTGATGAAGATGATGATTTGTCGGTCGATGAAAAGTAATTAATCTTTCTTAACCTTTTTCAGCCGGATGTTGCCATTTGGCAACATTGAGTCAGTATTTTGCATGGATTGACTTGCAGTGGAAGTATATATTTTTTTATAATTCGATAATTATCTTTATAGGCGCATATACATGTATTTCAGGACAAAAAAAACTCTTTTTTCGAGTTAGTAATTAGATTTACCTGTAGAGCTCTAGAAGAGTGTTCGAATCATAAAACTTGTTTCCCCTCTGTCCGAACAATTAATGCTAAGAGAAACTAGTAAATAGTTTTGCTTAGTAGAACTGTTACATATAACATCAGTAATCTGACTTATTTAATACTTCTCGACAGTAAAAAATATGCTTGTTGCCATTTAGCAAAATTCGACCACAAAGGGTCAAAAATTTTGTAAAATTCATCTTCTGTCTACGCCTGTCAGACATGTTTTCTTATGAAGTAAATGTTATGATACACGTACCCTATACATGATCATAAACCATATATTGTATGTGTCTTTGACACAAATCATTTTTATTATTTTAGTTGTCATAACATTTTAGTCCTTCTTTCTTTCACATAGTATTTTTCCTCGTCCATTTAGTTTTCTATTTTGTCTTTGAGATATTTCGTTTACAACTATATTCATATTTTCTTTGTTAGTATTTTATCTCTCTGATTCGTAGTGTATATAGGTCTCTTGTATTAATGATGTCTAGGAAAGTTTCTAATTAAAATCCGATTATTCCAAACGGAATAGTGAAGAAGACCTTGGTTCATCTGAGTCAGAGAATGAAATGCATTTAACCCAAACGTATTTTACTATATTGATCAGAAATGAATGAAGAATCAGCGATAAACGACGACAGTAGCAGTGAAGTATATCATGCTCAAAATGTAAACTGCGTCTATGTTTGAACGATAATAAAAATTGTTTTAGAGACTATCATGACCATTAAGTTGGCTTTCTTGTAAATAATTCTTATTTAGTTATTGCTATTTTGGTTTTCTAAATTTGTATTCCTAAAGAAACTTCTTTTACGTTAAGAATAAGCGAAAAAATCATAAAGTTTTATGTTTTAGCATCAGAAAACAGAAAACGAATTTTACAAAATTTTTGTCCCATTCTGACCGAATGTTGCTATTTGGCAACTATCCACTAAGCACTTTTAGGATCGGGAAAATGCGTTTCTGTCATATCAATGATGAAGGTATACCGAATATACTGTAAAAGATTTTTTTGTAACTCCGACTCTAGTAATCGGCCGGAAAGGGTTAAGATGGAAATCTATTTTATACAGGTATCTTTGTACATTTTTTTAGTAAAAATATGGAAGCATTTTATAAAGAAACAAGAAATGAAAATATTGATATAACAGATGTGGATGCTAGTGCTGATTTACTGGGTATGTTCATATGGTTCTATCTACACAGATGTATATTAAATTGACAGAATATATTTATAATGTTCTTTTCTACATTATTTTACGTTTGTATTTACATTTTTAGTTCGACAAAGTTTTTATGGTGAGATAATTACTCGAGATCATATTAATTGTTCTTTTATTAACGCAGTAGCAATTTTTGTCATGTAGTTAGACTAACTGTAACTCATTTTCTTTACTAACACATTTCTTTTCATTTCTGGCAATGGGCTTGACTATATATTTTCTCAAATTGCTTTGGTGTAGGAACACTATCGATTCTCTCATTAAAAACATTAGAGTGAAGATCGATGAATGAACGTAATAACTCATAGCTTGTTTTATTGGAATTTATACTAAAACTAAGTTAATTTTTATGATAGTCTACATATACGATGTCTGACCTATTCGGAAAGAATATGATATTAAAGTGACGCTTAACCTTGACTATGTAGTAAATTCAGCCTTTTAAGAAATACTGCACAGTTCGTGTTGTCATTGGTCACTTCGAAAAGTCTATACAGTACACTTATTGCATTAATTGTTGTTTCGTTTATATATGCATTTACTTGATGTGCTGAACAGAGTAGGTACGAGTACTTGTGAGTACTTGATGTTGTGAAAGAAACAGCATTCTAATTTGTTATGCAAAATATGCATTCATAGGTCTCAATCGACGCAGATTTTGATGCTCTATAAAATGAAGCAGATTGAGATACAATGTAATCTCGCAGTTCTTTAAAACATCCTGAAAAGCAACTACTTTTGTGATTATTTTGCGTTTATGTAAAAATTAAAGCGTTAAACAAAAGCTACTAATGGGTCACTTTATAAAGCATCAAAATCTGCGTCGATTGAGACCTATGAATGCATATTTTGCTCAACAAATTAGAACGCTGTTTCTTTCACAACATCAACTACCCATAAGTACGTGTATCTGATCTCGTGCATCTCACTTAGCGTCACCCCCCATTCCCGCTTTCAAAATTCAAAATTTTTCTATATAAAAAGTTAATATTGAAATAAGCCCATGGTTGGATAGTCTAAAGCTCCTACTCTCAGAATCCAAAATCGTTTCGATCATATAGAACGTTTCTGAGAATTTTTAATTGAATTTTAAAGAAGTCATGAACAATTGATCTTTTTGCAAAGTACTCTCTTTTGTACACATTTTTAGTAAAAAAAAAATGATTTAGTAGATGTCACCTTAACGAACAAATATTTCTGATTAAAATAAAATGCTTCCTGACTATCAACTATATTGGATCAAAAGTTACGATTCGACGAAAGGCCTCAAAATACGTACAGTACATTGGCATTTATTCATTTTTTTCGTCAAATTTTTTTTCTGTTCAACTTCATCATAAAGCAAAAACTTATCCTTTTAGCGTACACAAAAAAGCTTTTTGAAAATCTCGAAACCATCTTTTCAGCTTTTAGACTTAGAAAACTTTTCTCAAATGAAAGATATTTAATATCTGAAAAGAGGCTCTATCGCGATCCAGATATAGATATTTTCTAATTATTAAAACAATTTTCAAATCTCCTCAGACAAACAGTTCTATTTTGTCCAGGAATTTCTACAAAACTCCATCAGGATTATTAAAATAGAAGCGAAATTTATATAACAGTCACACCTTATCATAAATAACGTTTTCGAAAAATTTTATTACTACCATATGTAATACGGTGAGAATATTTTTAGAGGGGAAAGGGTCGACTCATTTATAAGATCATCTCTGATTACGGAAATTCTTTGTCTGGTTAACCTAGTTAAAATCATAGACCTTTACAGTTAAATTTTCTTGAATGTTGTCTTAACAATGCTTTTATTCACATAAACATACTTTTGATACTTATTAATCAATTTTTATTTGCCATCTTATTAGAATAAAAATTAAAATTTAGTTGAATTATTTATGTTTTAGGAATGACAAAAGAAGTGGGAAATTTGATCAAAGAGAATAATGAACTTCTCGAAACAAAGTCCGTAGTTTATCTGTATTTTCCAAATATTTAGACTATTTTATCTTATTTGTTCTTGTTTTAGAAATGCATTAAATGTTTTGAAAGATGATCTGTTAGTCAAAATTGAAGAATTATCGAGGTAAGTCGTTCACACACATATAGACGATACCATTTATAATGAATGATGTATATTATTTCTAGTGAACAAGAAATTCTTCGTGAAGAAGTTATCTCATTACAATCTGTTAAAACACGTTTACAATTGAGAATAACAGAACTAGAAGATGAAGTGAAAAAATCACGAGAAGAATTAGATAAACGAAAGAAAGAAGAAGAGGTGAGTAGTAATGTATTTTCATTTTGTTACATGACGATCAAAAGCATATCCTAAGCTAATGATAAAAGACACAGACTCGACTTCTGTTCTATTCTCCTATCATCAAACTATCTTTAGTGTTTTGAAATATTGTGGAACGTAAGTTTTCTAGAGCTATGTGTGACTATAAGAAGTAGCTGCTAACATGATTTAAAGTGTGTTGCTCCTCTAAAATGTTTTAGTCAAATTGTCAAAGAACGGTCGGTAAACAGAAAAAGAGAAATTAATTTAATAACTGACTGCATTAGATTAGATATTTTTTAAGCATGAAAGTAGTCATATTCAAATGTCTCAGTTTATAGGAGTAACTTGAATATTTAATGTACAAAATTGAACAGAATAAGAGAAGTGTTCAGGACAGCTGAGATTAAGCGATTTTCTTTGTTTAACTTAGGCAGAGAATTAATAAAGAAATTACCTATTTAAAGATACGGAACTGTAGCTGAAATAAATTTGTTTTTACCTTAAAAATATAAAATTGATATTAGAATCATTTTTGAAAAGCATCACTTCTACTCTCTGCCATCTTTTCGAGAGAGAGAGAGAAATATTAATAAAAACAAATAGACGAAAAAAAGAAAAAAAAAATGAAGTGAGATATATACAAATAAATAAAAATTGAATGACACTGTACTGTTCGGACAACAATATCTATCTTATTTTTAATTGCACAGTATTTTTTCACATGATTCTGTTTGATTAAAAGAAAACGTCATATTTTAAAAACATTCGCTATAGTATAAAAGTATGATTGCTCACTATAATATGTGTTTGTGAATGGTTAGACAATGTAATTATAGTGGATTGGGTGACTTTTATTAAAAAAACGTTCATTAAAACATTTTTAGTAGGAGTTCTATTAAAAATTTTTCGATAACACAAGAATTTTATCTATCCATAGTATATCCGTCTGGAAATAACTGTTTTCAGTCGATTTTTTAAATTTATTATATATATAGAAATATATTTTTCGAAAGGGAATTATATATTCTGTAAGCGCTCGGAATTCTTATATCATCGTGTACTTCGCCGGTCTTGACTTCCAATTATTTGGTGACAAATATTTCAACTATTGTTAATGTACTCACGTATCACATTCCCATAGATTACATTCCATGCTTCTTCAACTAACTGTTCTTTTTTTTTTACAGACCACGAGAAAGAGTACATTGGAAAGTACAAAAAGAACTGAGATCTCTACTTTCGTATAATCTGCGTAGTTTTCTTGATTGACGTTCTGAAGTTAAAGTTTAGATATGGTTTTGTATTTCGCGGCGTAGCTTCGTAAGAAAAACATTAACCTTTGTGTCCTAAAGAAACACGAGAAAAATCGAAAATACTGAAAGACCGTACCCATTACAGTTGCTCGAAATGTGATAGGTGGAGAACATTAACAATATTCAAAATCTTTGCCAGCATATAATTTCTATATATATTTAAATAAATTTAAAAAGTCGACTGAAAATATTTATTTCAAGGTGAATGGCGGAGTAAAAGATCCCTGTTTCACTTCGCATATGTATCACTTAGTGATACATACATATTTTTTGATGGCACAAGAATTTCATCACTTCCTTTTGATGAAATTTTTTATAATGAAAAATGTTTTAATGGAACTCCAATATTCCACTATAGTGTTTTAGTAGTGAAGAAGATAAGTGGCTATTTTTGACTACAGCTTAAATATCAATACGGATCATAATTAGCTAGTTCAACACACGATTTTTTCCTTTTTTTGCATGTATTATTTAATTTTTAAACTAGTGTTTTTCTATTCATATTAATCAAAATTTAAATCTCACTCATTCTTTCTCGATGATTTTTCAAGGAAGATGTACCTATGGCAGATAGAAAGAGATTTACCAGAGTGGAAATGTCACGTGTTTTATTGGAAAGAAATTCATTTAAACAACGTTTAATGGAACTTGAAGAAGCTATTCATTGGCAAGATCATTTGCGTGCATCGAAATCAGATCCACAATCAGCAACAGCAATTCCTGCACTTGATCATGCTCAGCAAAAGAAACGTTCACCATTTTGGAAACTGTGAGTTAAATATACTGTTTTGACTCTCTCATTTTAGGTTGTTCTCTTGTTTCGTTTCATAAATCAGCACCGATCCACGTTCATGAATATTCTGTTTGCTAGATACTATCTACTAATATATATTGCAGAAAGTATAATGTAGTTTGTCCTATGTGAAGATGTCCGAAAAATTTCTTTAAAAAAAATTTGACTTGCATGATCCAACTAACCTCTAAAAGAATATTCTTTTGTTTATAGTCAGCGTATTCTAAAAGTAAAGAAACACTAATAAAAGTCTTTCAGCTAATCGACTGTTCGAACAAAACAGTTTCTGTCCCCAACATCTTGTTTACCATCAACAACACTATTGTGACATCAAATTAGTGAGATGCTATATATATGATGTAATATAGAATAATATTGAATCATCATCATCATCAACTAGAGACAATTGTACCGGGAAACATTCTAAGAGTATCGCACCGTAGGCATTCAGGCGAACATTTGACGAAAAATCGAAAGTGGCTCTCTTTTAAGATTCGAATAGTGTGAAATTCACTTCAATTTACGGGTTATCCAATAAGGTTAAAATTTTTGTTCCAAAGTGCTCGTTTTTCAATAAAAAAGTTATCTGCAAATAATGGCCTAGATATTAACGATCTCGCAAAAAAATCATTTTTTATATTGAACTAAGCCGGTTTGAATTTATAAAAATTACACTTTCTTAATCTAGAAACTCTCACCTATTCACCCATGTCTAAGTATTTTGCTTAGATCCCTCGATCGAGGAGAAAACACATTTTTTCGAAACCGATCGTGTTCCCAAACGAGGACTTAGAATGTAATAAGATATTCACGAACATCCAAGGTCGAATCTGACTCAAAATTACACCGGAAATGTCCGTCGACATGTCATGTATCTATACTTCATACAGCTTTATGCAGCTTTTTCTGTCTCTTAGTTAAAAAAAAACTCTGGGTTTTTAGGTAAAATCGGTTCTTCTCAGGTCAGGAACATTTGTATAAAAAAAGTAATATGACATTTGGAATCAGCGCATAAAACTGCATCGAATGATGTATAACTTGTTCATTTTTTGAATAAAACGTTTTCGACAAAAATTTAGGGCAAGGGTTTCCCTCAGGGATTTTTCGTCTAAAATTTTTTTTTCTGAATTTGGGTTTTTTAAATTTATAATAATATTTAAAACGTAATAAAGTAGTATTGAGCAAAAATGGTCTCTTTCTGAGTTAAAAAAACCACATGTCCGCCTGGTCTATAGAAAAATGCCTGCTGTGTGTATCGATGAACAATATTGAAAAGATATGAGAGAGATACAACACAATGTTTGCGAGCGGAATTCATCTAGATCTCTACTGTGTGAACTGAGGAGAGCATCTTACATCCACCGTTTCCATCTTTAATAGAAGCGACTTCTTCTAGAAAGTCTTAGACTAATTATTTTCCTCTGTCATCTCGATATTTTCTCGTGCGATCTCCTTATGTTCTGATGACTTTTTTAGTTTTTCTGGCTTATTTGGTTCCATAACACCGCCGCCCGAAAAAATGACAAAACGTTTGTTAACACCCACCCCCGGAAATATAAAATACAGTCATACAAGTGATCAACTAGCTCCAAATACCAATAATACATCATTTCAAAGTGATTCTGGTAATTTACCAATAGAACGAACGCATTCGGACAGTGAAACGTAAGAGACTTAAACATGAATCTGTTTTATTTTATGAACTGTATTTATTTATTTATAGTCTCGTTATGGAATCAACTCCAAACATGAACAGGAGTAATACAGTATCATCACCCGTAAAGCGCAGAAATAATTCATTGATTCCTAAAGACGACAATAGAAAACAAGCTTATGGTTGGAGCTTACCCTCGAAAGATCAATTAAAATTATCTGAATCGAATGGAAAAGTGCACTTGAATGTGCCGGTACCAGTGTATTGTCGACCAATATATAATACAAATGAATTAACGCAAGTAAGTTTGCTAAAGTCTTCTCATAGATGAAAAATATATCATTCACAACGTGTATCTAGATTTGGTGTGCTGTTGGAATTGATTTAACTGGTGCACCGACAGATGATAATTTATCTACAAATCAAAATGATGTTGATTTATCATCCCTTCCATCTGTTGAACAATTAAATAAACAATTAATTGAGTCTTATAATCAAATGGTTGATGAACCGTGTCTAAAACTCTCATCTCTCTTATGGATAGCATCCAAATGTAATTTAAATGCAATGATAACAATTATCGATTCGAATAAAGCGGACAAAATTATTGATACATTCACTTTAGGAAAAGCCGTAGTATACGCTATAGGAAGTGTACCAGGTATATAATATTTTTTTTTCTCTTATATATATATATATATTTGTTCAACTATGATTTTCTATTTAGGACCAGCTTCTTCTGATTATACTGTAGATGATGAACATTGGAAACAAAAATCTCAGACAACCGAACATTTTGAAGCAAAAACGACGTTGAATGGTAGATAATATTTCTAAATATATTAGTACATGATCATAAATGAAAACCTTTTGTTTATTATCGATTATAGATAATCAAAGTATATCTGAAATATTTCCTTCAGAGATAAAACCATCTGACGCTACTACTCCGTTTACATTTAGTAAGTATGTTAGTGTTGAGCATTGTGATTAAAACATGCTGAGCAGTATAGTTTTGAACTGATAAACAATCATTCAGAACTACGAAGAAATTTTTCCTTTTATCTCATATACATATTTTTAGAAAAAAGGACACGAAAGTTACGATCAAGAACAGTTTCATCATCATGGACATTTCTTGAATTACCTACAAGTAGAATTTGCTTGCTCGATTGAAACTCGTATCTTATTCCGCTGTGTTTCCGCTATGATAGTTCAATAAATACAAAACAGCTGTTCTAATGAACATCAGGCCATTGCTGTGAATATATCATGTTTTTGAAATAATGTTTTACAATTCTCTTATAATATTTATCCCATTTTCTATTGTGGTTCAAAACATATTACTGTTGTTAAATCAACGTGTAGTAAACGTTGCTAAAAGACGATCTGTTGCTTGCTTGGGTTTTTTTATTTGAATTATTATTATATATATTTTGTTTTTCTAATATTTTTTGTAGATTCCGAGCAATCGATAGCAGCAATAGCAGGTGAAGCATCTATGTTTTTTTCTTGTACAAAAATGTATAAAATATCTTTTCCTTTTCAGACATCCAAAATGAAACTAAAAAACCGATGTATTCAACGAAATATCCAACAGTATGGCTAGGATCGGGTGATGGATGGTAAGAATAGCAATAAAAAAATAAAATTAAAATCAATTTCGATTATTACTTGTTCATTTAGGCTATATCTTCATTCAGCTGTTGGTGATTATAGAACAACTATTGAAAAAGTTTGGTTAAAAAATGCCATTTACAGTATTGTGTAAGTTTCATGGCGATTGATTACTTTAGAAATATCTATAACAAAATCAATTTATTCTTAGACACGTACGAGGGCGTGTATTTGTTGCTCTGGCCAATGAGAAAATTGCTATATTTCGTCGAAATAATGGTATGTGATCAAGCCAAGATTTTTTCTTGATGTACAAAACATAATAGATCTGTTGACAAAGTTGCATTTCAACCGTATTCTTTCATTTATTGTGTCAACAAAGTATTATCGATTTTAGATGGAACATGGAATTTAAAAAACTTTCATCTAATTACAACTGGTAAAACTCGTGAATCAGTGAGATGTTTAATTAATGTATTGGATCATATTTGGTGCGGTGTAATGAATCGTATTTATGTAATCGATGTTCAAACATTAGAAATAATCGTAAGTTATTCACTGACTGATCATAGTAGGTATCATTCAGTTTTATTTACATACATTTTTACAGAAACAATTTGATGTTCATCCACGAGTTGAACATGCTGTTCAACATATGACATGGTCGGGTAAAGGTGTTTGGATATCCGTTCGTTTGAGTAGTACATTACAATTATATCATGCAACTAATTATCAACATTTACAAGATGTTGATGTACAGCCATATGTAGAAAAAATGATCAGTAAGTGTGTGTTTTTAATTGAATCGTCCAAAATTAGACTGTTCACATCTATTTTAGCTACAGAAAAGGCTGGACTCTATTTTGTACATATCAGTTGTATTAATATCGCTTGTAAAAGACTTTGGATTGGAACAGGCAATGGAATTATTATATCCGTCCCATTATCCGAGAGTAAGTATTTCTCATTTTTTTTCCCTAAGTGTTCAACATTTAGTAATTTTTAATATATTTAGATTCAACTTCAAGTAAACAAAATTCACCAACATCAATGAAACCAGGCTCTGTTGTTCGTGTTTATGATCAATCGTCATCTACTATACCCTACTGTAGTATGAATAATGCTCAATTATCATTTCACGGTTATAAAGATGCTGTTAAATTTTTTGTGGCTGTTCCCGGAAATCCTCCCTCAAAATTACTTATTGAAAACAATATAAATAATTCAGAAACTGACATTATTTCATCAAATTCTGATCATTCTCCAACAACTTCATCCGATTTATCATTATCATTTGCAAATGATATACTTGTATTAAGTGGCGGAGAGGGCTACATTGACTTTCGTGTAGGTGATATTGATAATACAAATGAAGAAAATGAACAATCGTCAACAGTTGGAAAATCACATTTGATTGTTTGGCATTTAGGTTCTATTTAATTTATTTTTACTTTTTTAATTTTAAAATTCGCCTACTAGTCAAATTTAGAGGCTCTCTGTTCCTTTCTATTTCTCTCATTCAATTCTCGATTACAGTGATCATAAACTAGCTTCCGTGCAATTATACAGTATGTCTTTCGATATTTATGTACGAATGCCTTTTAATTTATTTTGTTTGTTAATGAAGAAAATGTAACATTTCCAATAGAAAACATCCGTACAATGTATCCACTTTTTCATATAATTGCTTTTCTTCATGAAAAATATAATTGACGGACTACCGAGTTATCTTACCTTGCCTAATACTCTAAAGTCTACCGTTTTGTTTTATTTAATTAACTGCGTATGTGTGTTGATAATTTATCTATTGTTTGTTTTTTTATCGAAAATATATCAATAGTTGTTCTGAACATCTCAAATGTCTTGCATAGATACATTATTATTTATTATTTATTATATATTTTGTTTATCTGTTTAAAAAAAAGTGTACATGGTTTTTCTTCTTGTTTATTTCTTTTCTATTATTCTTATTGTGGTGCTTGCGCTATTTTTTTAACGTATTTAAAATATAAAACACCTTTTGATTTACGGATCATGATTGAATGTGAACAAAGGTCACACACAAATCATATGAAAACAAATTCTTTTTCTCACTAAGCGTGATCTAGTTATTTCATGATTTATTAAAGCATAGACATCTCAGAAATAAGTAAAATATAAACTTATGAAAGATTCATGACATATTGAAAATCATTTGTTTAATTTTTTATTCATTTTTCATCTTTTTTCGTTAAAGATTCTTGTCTGAAGTGGCAAGATTCGTTGACGACAAGATCACAATTTGTTTTGTCGATTCCCGTGTTATATATAAATTACATAATATAGCTCAATACTATACATAGATGGCTGATGTGCGAAGTGGCACGCCGAAGTGTTGAACTATTGTCTTCGTTGCTAAACAATACTGTGATCTTGTTTTTTTCTGCTTCTTTTAGCAGATAATATTAAGAAAATGGGCATGAACGATTTGAAATCATCCTCTTCGTTGTCCTTAACAAATTATTCATTTGATTATGACCAAATATCAGAAATTCTTGAACTAGACGATTCAACTGATTCGGAAATAATCATTAAACAGCTACAAATCAAAGGACGTCAAGCACTAATAAATGAGAAAAGTAGAATTGCAGAAGTTGTCTACTTGGAACAAATGATGGAGAAGAGTGATCTACTAAAACCTACTGAAACAGTATTTTGAACAAGAATGGTATCAGTCAGTTACAGACAATGAAACATGATTTAAAGAATACTTGAAACAACAGAAACACGATTCAGCCACTTTGTACGATAAAATTCTAACACTTACAGCTGAATACGGTATTACCTATCTGAAAGATAATCCTATACTTTCGTTAGCTATTCAGTTCATTTTCGAATTTGATGATGAGGATGATACGATCAACGAGAAATTTGATGATATCTGGCGAACATATGAAGATATGAAGATCAGTTGTCTACAGCTACAGTGGAAGAACAACTAAGAGATCCAAGTCCACTCTACTTAACATTACAACAGTACTATCGTCAACCGTTAAAAGACCTCTTAAAACAGAGTAACATTTCAGATCGTCGTAGTACTGTAGATACTGCTCTTCAGTGCGTTGTTAATAACAGCTGGTGGCAGGGTTTACATAGTTCTATATGTATATATGGATTAGTTTTAAAAATTTTTAATACCTCTGCTATGATTTGCACCAATCAGATAATATCCACATCGATTCAACTGGGGGTTCTGTCTATTGCAGTGAATGCAGAATGGCCCAGGAGGAAAACTCAATCGTTAATACGCTTCAGTTTGATTCATCAGCCCCAAAACCAACGCTTCATGGAACAGTTGTAAACTTAGAAAATACGAATGTCGGTACGCAGTTCGTTGACTCAAGCTATTATATAAGAAACACGATATTATCCATATGTAAGATGCACGTAATGCAAACTTCAAATGAAATTTGTTTTTGACATTATTATACATATTCAGATTCAGCTTAACGAGCTGATTACGAATAACACCTTCCGAGCCTCCAAAAGCCATTTCCCCATGTAGCGTTTTTTTTTGTAATACGCTTGGAGGCTGTTATGATAAAAAGATATAAATTCTAAAAATTTTCTCTCCCTTTTCCTAGATTCTACAAAGTTAATATTTGTAGTAAATAAACCATATGAAAATTTAACAAAAATATCAAAATGCTTCTTTTCTTCAATATTGGCACATCCTCTGATCACACAATCTATCGTTTGATCAGCTGAATCATCTTTTACGAACATTAATAAATTTTGTAAAACAACATCAGAGCAATCTATTCAACCTTGGCGGCTCATGCTCTCACCGATTTTTAATAAAAGCAATTAAAAAGCAGGTGTATGGTCATCTTTAAAGGCAGATATTTTCAACATTTAGCCATTTTGCAAAAGTAATCAACGCAACGCTTCCTACATTAGAAACAAAGCATATCTGTTCAATGCAGTCAACGATTTCAATCACAGAAGAGGTTGTTGGTTTGTAACAGCTTATAAAAAATGTTAATAAACTCATAAATCTCACGATTCACTAATCACTCTTCTGTATAAAGCTCGTGATTGGAAGGAAGATCGATGTTGTCAGGAGAAATGAGTCCATCCACGGCTTTGAAGAGTTTTCGAATCGCACTGATAATGAATATAAACTTATCTTCAGGTTTGTTAAGATGAATAAGCACTGTTCGACTGAGAAGCTCCTGGCCAGAAGAAACAGGTTCAGAAATTTTTAAAACAGGTTCAAAACGCACGCCAAGATGTGTCAGAACTTCACTTTTGGAAAAGGCCTCGATGCCACGATTTTTAGCAAGCATCACAAAAATTCACTTATCAGAGCCAAGACTTGTATAACTCTTCTCATCACATTCGTTGTATTTACAAGTACCCTAAGAAGCAAAACAGCTGGAATCAAATAAATCCGCTTATTTAAATATATTTTGGAATTGAATTATCTATAAATTAAATATATTAAAAATATGTGTATTTTTTAAGAATGTATGTGATTTTACAATTTAATACCCTAAAATCACTAAATTAGTAAAAATTATTGAGGTAGTCTTAAGTTTATGTGGTATTAAAAAATTAAAACATCTTGCTTATCGATTAGGCTATTAGATCATATATATTTTACAACATATATTTTAGTGGCTGAACAGAATGGAAATGATTAAACCCACCAATAAGATTGTTTATTCCTGAAGATTGGCCTATTCATAATGTTTATGATAAGTCTTAAAGATATTTGTTTAAAAAGTTTTTAATAAATACCTTCAATTTAGATTCTCCATTTATATCAGAATAGTATACAAAAGATCAATTTTTATAATGAATTTGTGTGTTTTAGGAATTACTAAGATATATAGATAACAACATTATTTATAACTGAATCATTTGACAATATAATGATAGTTTAATTGAGAGCTATAAAAAATTATTTTTATAATCACTGATACATTCACTTCGCAAATATGCTTTACAAATTATTAATCATGATATTTAAGTAAGTGAACGTTGATATGGATGTCATTTATAGCCAAATTAGACTTTTATGTAAACATTTTTTATGCGCATTTTTTAAGCGCAGGCGCAAAAAGAGGCTAGAATAGCTTAAATACTCTATATTCTGAAGGTCTGAACTCGTTCCGATGTTTATTGAGTGAAAAGTGAATTTTTTAATAGCTGAAACCAGCTTGAAAATCCAAATTTTCGTAAAACTCACTTTTCGGTAGACTTTTAGAACTTTTTCTAAAAGCAAATATTGTCACAAGACTCAGCATGATCAATTACCTATAGTCCATCCGTTTTCAAGGCTACCAATAGTCAACGGGTGCCCGTCCTGGGACTCGCAAGAAATCCGACACAATACCCGAACCGCGGAAAACCTATGATCTTATTCTATATTTAACTACCAAATCTTATAAAAACTTGCGGTCAAAAAGCTATCAAATTCTTTTTTCAGATATTGCCCAGTGCCAGGATGTCCTGATTGCCCAATTAAAGAACCTGTTTCACGGCTATATTCAAGATTTTAAAAGCTCAGAGGAATTTATAGAAAACATAAGAGTTATTAAAATGGTTTATTGTCTACGATACATTGTTGCTTGAATGATAAAGCTGTTATCAATATGTTAAAAAAGAAATGACTGAGTTATTGGTTTGTGGGGATTTTAATATTTTAGATTCGGTTAGAAAATGCTTCAAATTCTTGTTTACATAAAATTATCAAAGTATATTAAATTTATAAAAATTTTTATGTCTCTGTGATCTTAAGAGAGTGTTTGTTTTTTATAGGACAAACTTAGGATAAGATCTACATTTTATTATTCAATTTATACTGTTTTTAAAGGGATTCATTTTTTTATTTAAGTAGTATACATATATTTTCTATGATAATTGTGGATTTTTTAACTTATTCAAAAGTAAAAATATTCACAACAGATACTGGTATTATTTTTTTGTTTTTGACATTATCCTTTATACTATGTTAAAATTTTAAACATAAAAACAACAACAGTGTAAACAAAATGCAACAAGAAAAAAGTTAAAACATAAAAACAATGTAAAAAAACAAACAAAATGAATTTTGACTAAAAATGCAGAACATTTGACTTGTTTTATTTAAAAGTTGATTGTTGAATAGTGAGTGTTTAGTGTGATAAAATAAAAATGTAGAATATTGAGGAGAAAAAAAAATGAAGATACAGTCAACACGTTGAACATGTGATTAGGATGAGTTTGACAGGCAGTATAACTCATAGTATTGCTCTACTCTGGAGGTTTAGATTTGAAAATGTTGTACAAGATGACTACATTGAAAATGTGATCTACTATTGACTGTTAGAAAAACATCATATTTTTATGACTGCATGGCAGTGAGAAATGTGGAATTCATTCGTACAATCATTTTATTATATAATTGATTATTCAGTTAATCCATTGTTTGTGGACGCTTTCTAATGTTGTTACTAATATCATTGGTAGACAGTTCATATTTACTTTCATCTTCTTGTTCTACATCATTCTGTTGCTCTTCAGTATCATTATCATCATCATCATCATCATCATCATCACCATTACCATCACCATCATCATCACCATCATCGTCATCATTATCATTTAAATTCATTCGATTTAATTTATCTTCTGTTAATGTTAACGTTATTTTATCTTTTAAATCATCCGGTATTAAATAGGGTCGAATATCAATTATTTCAGTCACTAAATCATCAAAACTTTTTTCTAATGCTTCGATTAATGCATCATGTACAGAATGATCAGAACATTTTGTTGATTCAATTAAAATTTTTGAACATAATAGATCACGTTTATATGTTGTAATAACTAATGGATGTGGATAATTTGCATTTGAATACTCAATATCAGCATTATACGATAACAATAGAAGTACAATATCCGGTCGACCGTTATAACAAGCTAAATGGAGTGGATAACAACCATCTCTGTTTGACATATTTGGATTAGCTCCTCTGCTCAATAAATATTCACTTAGATCATAATCATTTCGTTCGATTGCCATTAATAACGGGGTTTCACCTGATACTGTTGATAAATTTAAATCAAACGGTATTGATTTTGATTGTGCATAATCAGATAATAATTGGACTAATTTTATAGATGCTTTATCCGAATAACAAGCTGCATGTAAACAAGTTGTACCTAAACATAAAAGAAACTATGTGACATGTTAAAGCACTCATAATAAGAGCTATCAGATAATGTTTATTAACTGTGTAATTAAAACTTTTTTGTCATCTTTGTTTACCTTGACTCGTTTGCCAATCAATTTTAGCATTAGCATCTAATAATAATTCTAGACATTTATCTGAGCCTGAATGGCAACAAGCATAAATTGGATTAAAAATAACACCATCAACACTTTGACCTAGAAAATGAAGAGGATGATTGTAATACTGCATATCCCTTTCAGAACTAATGATAGACTTTACAAGTGTATGATGCACTTACCAAATTCATTTACATCTAATCCGAGATCGACAAATATTTTGACAATATCTGGATAACCATAAAAACATGCCGCTGTTAAATACGATGGTTCATGTTGATCATTAATACTGACATGATTATTTAGTAGTAACTGAATTGTATCTAAATTGCCCGATTCTATTGCATACATTAAACATGTTTCACCTGTTTTTGACCGTTCATTAATCATATTTGAATTTGAATTTGTACATTGTTTAACAAGATATTGTACAAGTGGATAATTACCACTTGAACATGCATACATTAATGGTGTAAGACCATCTTTATCATAACAATTTAATATTGCACCATTTTCATGAAGAAATTTAACAATTTCTAGACGATCACTTAATTTTTTAACAATTATAGAATTGTAATTTGTCCGTATTGCATCATGTTCACTCAATAAACCTTTAAATAAATAGAAATGATAAATATCGATGAGTTAATGTTAAAATAAAGATTTTTGTTTACCACGTGCAACAAGATGTAAGGGAGAACGATCGTCACATTGTTTCACATTAACATTTGCACCGTATTGGACTAATAAACGGCATATATCAAAATTTCCATAAAAACATGCTTCTGAAAATATATTATTTTAAAAATAAAAAAATGTTAACATCAAGTGATCAACTACCTGATAATGGTGAATATTCGAGACAATTGATTGCGTTAACGTCGGCTTTATAGTCTAATAGTAAACGTACAACATCTTCATTTGCGAATTTGGATGCCCAATGTAAAGCTGAATCAAGACGTGATGTTGTTTTCTGAACATTAGCACCGAATTGTAATAAATAATGAACAGTTTCTGTTGTTTCTTGTACAAGATATTCTGGACCAATCCCACATGCAAAATGTAACGGAGTAATACCTATACAATTTCGCTGTATTAATATTTCAAAAATGATTTTTATCCTCTATATTGAGTGAAACTTGAAATTCAGTGAAATGCACATGCCTACATATCTAATGAAATATGGATTTTTATTAGTTAATGTTCAGAAAAGGCACTTCTACTTTACAAAGTGTGAAAATAAGATTATAACATACAACGGGGCATTTTCAGATATGAAAGTGAATGAAAAACAACAAAAACCAAGAGCAATGGTGTTAATGACTAAGAAAACAGTCCTAATGTCATATTCTCTAGCAGTATTTTGTTTTTTCACCCACTTTTATGTTTAGAAACACCCCATTGCATGTTATTATCTTATTTTCATACTTTGTAAAGTAAAGGTGCCTTTTCTGAGCATTAACTAATAAAAATCCATATTTTATCACATATGTAGGCATATGTATTTAATATGTACTAGTAAAGATTGAATTTTTAATTTTTACTACAACATAAATATGACTTTTTACCTGCTAATTGATCATTTTTAACAAATGTACATTCAATATTTGGATCAACGCGTTTTTTCTCTAATAAATATTTGACAATTTTTGAGAGACTATAACCGGATGCTGCATGTAAGCCTGTTAAACCTGGAATACCCGAATAATATGCTTCTCTCTCTAATAATGTTTCTAATATATCAAAATGATCGTATTTATAAGCCTCTAAAATGATATTTGTACACAATTTCATATCATGGGTACGTGATAATTCAAGTAAATGATCAATTTCATTTTCAAAACGTTTTTGATCTATTTTAGATGTTTTAATTAATATTTGTAGATACATATTAGGATCGGGTAAGTCACTCGTATTGTCCTCGTCAATTTTATTATCATCATACATTGTACATATAAATGAAAATCTAAAATAAATAAGAACGTAGACTTGTTCATTACTTGAGTTTAGCGAAAACGAGAGATAAAATGAAACAAAAATATGATATTTGATAATTCGTTCAGAGAAAAAGATACCGTTTTACGACATTAAAATTTGAAATTGTAAAAAAATATTCAAAATCTTCAAAGAAAAAGTGAGACTATTTTCGATACTTTCTCACAAGCATGCTAAAAGAAGTTTAAATAAATAAAAACCTATGTTCATATAAAAATAATGATTATATATCACTTTGAATACTCCAGATTTTTCCTCTAGTATCACTTAACTCTGTAAGGAGATCGACATACAGTTAATTCACCTACTACTGTGTATAATGAGTACTTCAAAGTATACTGTATATTTTATAGAAGAAATTAAAAATAGATAAAGAAAGAGTTTATGATGTTTTTCGGAAAAATTTGTTAGTAAAAGAAATTTTTTTTATTCTTTCATATAAAAATAATCTCTTTCTTGACTTGAAAAAAACAAAAAAAAACAAAAAATTTAATTCGATTTTTTTTTCTTCTTTTAATATGATACATTAGTTAGACATGTGAACAAAATTATTTATTGTTGAGTAATAGTATATGGACATAGATATATAAAAATAGAAAATTTCTCTTAATGTTAACTTTTTCATGCATATAAATAATTTTTATATCATAAATTAAAGATATATACTATTAACTATGACGTTCAAAAAATTTTTTTTTTTTGTTGGTTTTTTTTTTACGCAATTTTACTTCGACTACTTTTCTTTTTCTCATATGTCCGGTTGTCTGAGATACATGGCATGGGTAATACAGACTTTTCTTCTTTATATAGTTTTTTTTTTTTTTTTTTTTTTGTTGGTGAAGAAAAGAACCCAAACAATCTTCAATATAGAGTAGAACAGGATGAGAAATTCTTTTTCATTTACAGAAATCTGTAGAAATGCTTTTTTATTTTTCAAGTGTATCTAAAAATTCAGCAATTTTGTGTTTCATCTTCTTCTTTGCAATTATATTTTGAGCAAAATAGATTAAAGTGAAAGAAGAACAAAAAAATAGAAAGCTACATTGTTTTATGTAATAATATAATATCGTAACTTTCTCTCTTTCTCTCTCTCTCTCTCTGTTAATAGACATACGGTGCAGAGAAGAAGAAAAAAAATTACTAGTCTAACTGATTATAGTAAAACTCATTTCTGGATAGTAGAGAAGTAAAAATAAAAACAAAAAGAAATACTTTAAAATTAGAACGAATGTTTTTCATTCTAATAATTTTAGAATGTCATAAAACTTTCTAATGTTTTAAGTATTAACAAAAATTCAACTTTCAATAATAGAAATTCGTTTTCTGTTATCTTTTTCTCCAGATTTAATTCTGATTTTTACCTTTATTGAGCATTTAAAAATTCGTTTTCTTTTTTTCTTTTTTATGCTCACTACTCATGAGGAATAGACATTCGATATGATAAATGAAAGATTGTATTATGTATAAAATGTGTGTGTGTGTGTGTGTGTGCAACGTTTACAGAGTCTAAAAATTAATTCGTCTCTATGAGAAAATTTTGATCCCCATAGAATTAAAAAATAAAAAACTACATTATTTTATATTTACCTAAAACAGATTCTTTTTTGTACCAACGGACAAAAAAAATGTAAAAGCAAAAAAAATAAATAAATAACTATATTTTAAATTGAGTGAAATAAATATCTACAGTAAGTATCAAAAGAAATATCGAAAATATTTCAAGAGTATGTTATGTCAGTTTAATTCGCTTTAAAAAAAATTGTTCACAATGTCAACCGAGTTCATCTCCCTGTTGTTATTTTTCCATTCATCAGAAGTTATGCTAAAAAACAGATAAAATCGACTATTTTCTTCTAAAATTATTTTATTAGCCTTAAAAAAGTCTTCTATTTAATTTTTAATGAACTATTGTATCTTGTGGTTAAGAAAGAGTAAGAGACATTCATTTGAAGAAGAAGAAAAAAGAAGAAGAAGAAGAAAAAAACGGTCATTCACAAGTTTTATTCTCAATTATTATGGATATACTCAAAATAATAGGCTAAATATTGTTGTTAGTTACTAATTAACAATTTCCGAATTGTCTGTGAGTGAGTGTATTAATCAACATTCATTCGACATAGACATTTTTAATTGTACTATTTTTCTTATGAACAACGGGATTTAAACTATTTAGATTATTTATCTAATTGTTTCATAGTGAATAATGTTTAAAATCTTCAAGACATACTTTATTATTATTCATAGTTAAAATTTGAATGTTCTTATTCTATATTATTTATAATGATTAAAATTGTTCAATTATTTTATATTCAAAAATATATAGGATCATCGAGGTTTTTTTTCCATAAGGAATAAGTAGATGAGTTAACCATTCTTGTTTCAACTATTGAATATATCTTATATAGAATGGTACTCATTAGTATATGATGCTCATGGTGCGATTTTAATATGATGAGATCTAGTCTACAAATGAGTGGCTCTATTACTTTTGTTTTCATCCTATATTTCCTGCTATTCTAATGTTTTCTTTTTCTTTAAAGATCTTGGGGGTTATGGAGCAATAACGAATATTTACATAAAGAAAATCTTGATCAAATAACAAAAAAAAAGAGACAGCTTGAAAATTTGTCATTTGTTTACCATAAAAAACAAAACAAATAAAAACCATTTTTTTTTTTGTCTATGTCTGTTTTTCTTTCTATTCTATTCTATCTATCTCTCAATGTACATTAAAGTGGTTTGTTCTAAATTAATTTGATTACATCAATGATGACGAGAACTAATATAGAATTATATCAACAGAGGGCAGATGAACTAAATCATAAAGAATGTAGAAGAAAAAAAAAAATATGTCAAAAATAAATAGAAAAATCTTGAACAAGACAATAGTTTATCATTTGTATACATCTATAGAAATAGCGAGACGTTTTTGATAGGGAAATTTTTAAGAGAAAATGAAAACTTATTATCACTTTTCTATAAAATATTTAGAATTTTTAATCGAAATGTGTTCAAACTGTTAAAATAAGAAGTTTGTTTTTTAATTAAAAAAAAAAACCGTCCAATTAGAGCAAGAAACAAGCTAGACATGTTTCTACTATAGTTCAGAAATAAACAAAAAATTTAGCAAATGTTCTGTGTTTTTTTTGTTTTTGAGAAAAAAATCAACATAGTCAAAGTTTTAGCCTCTAAAATGATATACTGTTCATTTTAAATTACAATTTTTTAATAATAAAGTGAATAATATAATAAGAAGTTTTCCAAAAATCAAATTTTTAAAGCAAACAGATAAGTTATTAGTAATACCCAGTTGATGTACAAAAGTCATACTTCTTCTAATAATGTCAATAATGTTTTTCGAGTTTATGGGCAAAGTTAAGAATAAAAATTTTAAAACCAATGCGACTATCATGTTAAGAATTTTAATAAAGTTTTTATTAAAATTCTTAACATGATAGCCGCATTGGTTTTAAAATTTTTATTCTAATAATGTCAATGACTATAAAAGTTCCTAATAGAATATGAAAAAATCAACTTACTTATTTATAGTTTAAAAAAATAACAAGTCTAGTCGTAGAAGCAAACGATGAAATTGATGCCAATTTATTATTATTGCGATCAATGAATATTGACATGATCAGAATTAGAATAAAATATTTTCTCATCTTCTCTTTCTATCTGTTTTCCGCTAGTTTATGTTTTATTATTATTATTATTTTTTTTTTTTTGTGTTGCATTGTTCATATTTTTGAACACGATATATAAAATCTAATGTATCTATGTAATTTTTATCTATTACCCTAGAGAAAATGGTATGGTCTGAAAAAAAATAATTAGCATTTTTTTTTCTATGCATGTTCACTAAATTATCTCTGTATCTAGTACATCACATTTTATGACTTTAAAAAGAAAAAAAAAGAAAAGTCCATTAACAAATGATGCTGATCGGAAAAAACATTTAAGTTGTCAGAAGAAGAGAATGCATACATATATTCTATTAATTATAATATCGGTTTTCATTAGAATTCTTATGAAATGAAATTGTTAAAATCTTTTGACCTTGATGTTATTTTTTAAGAAATATCTGACAGTTGTTCTCTTTCGCCTGATAAAATAGAAATATGTGTCATAGTACAAATTAAACTTCTTTTTACCTTATCTCGCAACTATAGCTTTAGCTCTAGTTCGGGGACAGTCATACTTTTAGGAAAACTGATCTTTTAAAAACGTTCCATAGTCAAGAAATGCATAACTTGGAGCCGCACACTTTTCTATCAATAGTTCATCGAATCGATGTGTTTGCTTCGGATATTCCCCTTTCTGCAGTCGAAAATTAGATTAGATATATTAGAAATAGTGCCATTTATTTTCTATTATATCCATATTCTATTTTTGATATAACTTATACACACACAAACGATAATTAAAATAATTCTCAATAAGCAATAATTTTTATGTTGCATGATTCATCATCAAGTAAAACTGATTCTCTGTGATGTATGTTTGTATGCAGAGTATTTATGCGCACTTCACTATAAACTATTAGAGTGTTATATTCAAATCAGATAAAAGTTTCTTTCTCTTTTGTTTGCAGTTTTGTTTAGTCTTTACCACTGATGGGTTTAAAATTAACTAGTTGGAGTTGAAATTAGTTATAACTAATTTAAATTTTAGTACAATAGTTATAACTATTAAGCACGGTGATAGTGTTGATTGATATAACTGCGGTAGGGAGAGCTATAACTATTTCAACTTTAGTTAGAACTGTAACTGTAATACAAACTGAAATGAGCCTTTATAATTTTATTTTGAGTTGGTAGTCATTACTAAAACTGATGCAATTATAACGGGAGTTGGAATAGTTATCACTCTATCCATTTGGAGTTGTAACTCGTTCAACCGCAGTTATATCGATCAACTCGAGTTCACAGTTATAACTAGAGTTTTAAATA